GTAGTCGCTAGGTTCAAGGATCCCTCGTCTTTCGTCCAGTGTAGGTACGCAAAGGAGCTCGAAGCCAGCATTAACGCCCTTCAAAAGCGTATAGTGAATAAGAAAGACACCCTGTCTCAACAATACCATCAAATCAGAGCAGTAGAAATAATATCGGCAAAGAGGTCTGCGTCCGCAGCAGCAGAACATATCAGACGTACACTTCGCCACAGTGACCCCCAAGCAAAGTGGCTTCAGATGGTCGATCTCTGGCCAAGTATGACGTTCATCGATCTGCTTGGTGAACTCCGAGAATCTTCAAAGACTAAATTTGGGGAAGGCTCGAAAGAGGCGCTAGTCGCTTTTGGCCTTGTCATGGCCAAATTACAACGTCTACTTCGCATTGCGGATGCCCAAAAGAGACACAAAGATCAACAGGTCCAAGATGAGTGGGCCAATGAAGGCCATACCAACTGGGATCCATTGAAGCATCCTGATTGGTTGTTGTTAGAGATTGATGGTGATGTTCTCCTTCGAGAAGAGCAGGTAGATGTAGCATTGGCGACCGTTTTACCGCCGTCCGACCAAAATTCTGTTCTGCAACTTCTCATGGGCAAAGGAAAGACCTCTTGCATCCTCCGTAAGTATATGAGATCAATATTGTTGCCATCTTGCTAACTAATCTTAGCCATGGCGGCCGCACTTCTTGCCAACGGAACAGACCTAGCACGCGTCGTGGTACCACGAGCGCTCTTACTACAGTCCGCACAAGCGATGCAGGTAAAACTTGGGGGTTTGGTCAATCGTGAATTGATGCATGTGCCCTTTTCTCGAAGAACACCCCCAAAGGAGTCATTGATACATCTCTACGGAAAGCTTCACACTAAGCTACGAGATCGCCGTGGTATCCTTCTTGCGTTGCCTGAGCACATACTATCATTCAAACTGAGCGGTCTACAGCAGCTTTGTGATGCAAATCTTGAAGCAGCATCTAAAATGATGGACACTCAGCGTTGGCTAGATCAGTATGCTCGGGACGTCTTGGACGAGTGCGACGTATCCTTGGCGATACGAACACAGCTCATCTATCCTTCTGGTACGCAGATGACTGTCGATGGCCATCCGATGCGATGGCAAGTCATTCAGGCCGTCCTCCACCTTGTCAAAGACTTTTCGACAACAGTTCAATCACGCTATCCCCACAGTATTGAGATCGTCAGGCGTGGTTTTGATGGATTCCCTCTCCTGTACTTTCTGCGCAAAAATGCTGAAGAGTACCTACTCGATCTTCTCGTGAAGATCATCTGCAAAGGCCAAACACCATCGATTCTGCCTTGCGCCGAATATTCTCTCGACATGCGACAAGACATTGAGACATATATTTCTGTTCCTACTGTCCGCAGTCATATAGTGACCAGGATTTCTAATCAGTTTCGAGACAAGCCAAAGTTGATGCGAACAATCAATCTGCTTCGTGGACTGTTTGTTCATCGCATACTGCTCACCACCCTGAAGAAACGTTGGAATGTGCAATACGGACTGCATCCAGTACGTGCGCCTATAGCTGTACCATACTTGGCAAAAGGCGTACCATCTCCTACCGCTGAATGGGGCCATCCGGACGTAGCCATCACTCTAACATGCCTATCTTTCTACTACCAGGGCCTGAACATCTCTCAGTTCAAAGAGTCTTTCGAACATCTGGCCAAGACCGATGAGCCTAGTATACAATACGAGAAATGGTTCCCAAAAGGATGCAACATACCAAGAGAACTGGAAGATTATGCTGCCATCAATGCTGAAGATGTGCGACAGTTGAGCGAGCTATACCAGGCGGTCCGATACAGCGCGTGCTTGATCGACTTTTACCTGAACAACTTTGTCTTCCCAAAATATGCAAAGACCTTCAAGCTGAAGCTCCAAGCTTCCGGTTGGAATCTCTTCCCATCGATTGCTACAAAGAAGACGCAGGCTGGAGCTCGTGTTACTGGATTCTCGGGTACCAACGACTCCCGACATCAACTGCCTCTTTTGATTCAGCAACGAGACATGCCAAAGCTGGCACACACCAACGCAGAAGTGCCTTATTATCTCCTAGCTCCTCGCAATCAGTCATATGTTCGTATGGCATCTCCGACTGGTGTTCGCTGGACCGAGTTGGATTTACTGAGGAACCTTGCAAACCCCTCTCCTTATGCTCGCTCTAACCGAAATTATGGGGTATTCTATGGCGCGAACAATCAATTTCTGCTCCAACAGCAACGGCCAATTCGAATCCTTCTTGATGCTGGTGCCCAGGTGTTAGAGCATTCGAACAAAGCCTTCGCTAGAGCTTGGTTGCATGCAGACTCCGACGCAGCTGCAGCCGTCTATTTCGATGATGACCATCGTGTGTGGGTATTGTACCGCACAAATAAGACGATCCCACTAGTGGCATCTCCATTTGCCGATAATCTCGATCGATGCGTTGTGTACTTGGACGAAAGCCACTGTCGTGGGACTGACCTCAAATTTCCGCCTCATGCGCGAGCTGCGCTTACTCTTGGCCAACACTTAACCAAAGATGCGCTTGTACAGGCAGCCATGCGATTGCGTCTACTCGGCCAAACCCAATCAGTTGCTTTCTACTCTCCCCCAGAAGTACATCAAGGCATACTGGACCGATTGAACGTGACTGGACATGGCTACCGCCCAACATCTGGTGATGTGCTTCAGTGGGTCTTTGGCCAGACATGCGATATCATGGAGCAATCTGAACCCTCATTCTTTGCTCAGACATCGCAATACATGCAGCAAGAGCAAGCAAGGTTGGAACATCCAGACTACCTTGGAGACTCCATTTCGCGAGATGCGTTCCTTTCCAAAGTGCGCATCAAGGAAACGCTCTCGTTGAAACAGCTTTATCAACCAAAAGTCCAGCGCCAGAATGGTTCTTCGAAAACAATCAAATGGAATCTGGTATTGGAAGATATTTCCACCGAGCTACAGCGTCGAAAGAAGCATTTCCAAGATCGTGGAAGTGCTGTTCACGCATCAGCCCTGGAAGAAGTGGAGATTGAGCAGGAGCGTGAGGCAGAGCGTGAGATTGAGTCAGAGGTGGAACATGTGCGCGAAATTCAACAATCTCTAGCATATGAAGCAGCCAAAGTGAAGAAGCTTCATGACGACGTCATGCATTTTGCGACGTTTGGACGCCTGGTAGCTGGAAGCGATGCTTACCGGCCCATGTTCTCCCAGCTTGCACGCACGGAACTAGGTCTCAAGCACACGGTCAATCCTTCCATGAAGTCAGGTCTCTGGATTTCTGCTCAATTCAATCGAACCATTGAGACTTTTGAGCCGAACGACAATTACATTCGCTCTCCGCACTGGGTTCTTTGGAGTGGAATCAGCGAGCAAGCTCTCCTGGTCAGTCCGGAAGAAGCAGATGAACTAATCCCCATCTTACAGCATCCCAGGTTTCTGGAGGCCGATAACAAAGTTCATCTCCTTGTGTACGCTGCACCGGTCACGCGTCGGATGCTTCACTTTAACCAACTGAACTACTACGCGACGCCTACTCTGCCAACCGACTTCCGCGCCCCTTTTTGGCTGAGAATAGAGCTAGGCCTGTTCTCTGGGCGCCTATACCTCGAGTGGGACGAGTACCACACGTTACTTGAGTACTTGGGACTATGCGACGATCTGTCGCAGCACCCTGAGAAACCTCCTTTTGCGACAAAGCCGCTTACCTTCCGTACGTATTTCCAACACACTCCGTATTGCACTTTTGATACTAACTTATTACAAATAGTCCACGAATGGATCACACTCCGCCGCAAAGGTCAAGACTTCGAGCATACACCCATGGGCTTCATCACGACCGGCAAGCCGCTCACTGAGAAACATCCCTTCTTCCGCGTACTTGCGAGCGAAGACGACCCCGAGCGTGTGCAGAAGATTGCGCGACATGCACCAGGGTATTCGGAAGAAGAGCAGGATGACGATGAACATGACGATCAGGGTGATGAGGATTTCGCCCCTGCCGTTGAGCATGTAGATGAATCGGAGGACGAGGAGGAGTCCGACTCTAGTAGGGATGAAGAATTCCAGGATGCTGAGGATGGGGAGTAAACGTCATCCGTCTAATGCGGATTTTCCTATACACAATTTGTAGTGTAGTTTTTGTAGAGGGCCTCCGCCCGCAAATCTCAAGACTGTATTTACGCCTGACTAAGAGGCTGCGCTCCCTGACTTCATGATCAACCCGTTGCCTGTCTTTTTGTTTACGGGTTCCTAATGAAATACCGCTCTCGTCGGGGAATTGTTTCTATTTGCCCACTTCTAGAGCATCCACAATGGCACTACTATTGTCCGCTACCTCGACGAGTTATATACCAACGCCTACTGCGCGGCGCAGGTGTTGGCGTGCGCCTCGATGTCATGAGTAATCACAAAGCAATATATACACACGCCTAGGGTTATTTTGTGGATTGTATTTGCCTCTTGTAATTGAGCAGCCATGTGATTTACATCATGGCGAAATCGTCTCGGCAGTATTGTTAGGAAAGCTCTATAGACTCGACTCGCCCGTCTATTACTATTACCTTGCCCTCGCCGATGTCGCACTCTTTTCTAGATCAGTATAAATTTCCTAGATCCTACTTCTGTATCATCTTCTAATACTTCAATGTGCTTTATTATGACCCGCTCCGTGTTTATACCCCTGAAACAACTAGCTAGCTTTTAATTGATCTGGCTGCAAGGCGCAGGCAACCATATTGCTTGGGGCTGAGCTGAAGTGTTAATTCATACAAAGAGCTGTGACTCCAGCATACTTGTCTGCGCGATCACGGCAGGACCAGGAATCCACAATACTAGAATCGTCATATCGAGTAAATTTAATGCCATAAATTAAAATATTATACACGTCCAAAAGGAAAGCCGTCACTAAGAAACCGTGAACCCAAATAGAAACCCCAACCCCCCAAGAAAATAGAAACAAAGAAAAGAACCACCGTCACAATCCAAACACATGGGCATCAAGGCACATACGGCGGAGGCGCCACATCGCGCTCCCCCAACTCCGTCGAAACAGTCGGCGCATAATGCGGTCTCGCCTCCTCCCTCTCCTCCCCATACCTGCCATACCTCTCCCACCCCTCCACCTGCTCCGCCGTAGCCATCTCGTACGTCAACCCCGGCGACGTAGCCGTCGCACCAAACGCAGGTGTCGACATCGAGTATCCCTGGTTCCCATATACTCCGCCTCCTACTCCGAGGCCTCCACCGGCAGTAGGTGTCATGCAGGTGGGACTTTGTTCGCACACATCGTGTGGCCGCGAGCCGTTGGCGATGGGCATGCGGGAGAGGGTGGCGAAGGAGTCGGTACGTTGGAGCGAGGGCTGGATTATTATTTGGGGTTTCCGCTGGGGGACGGGGCGGCGCGGGATGGTGAAGCTTTGGGTTTGCGAGGGAGGACAAGGGCGCTGGTGCGGGGGTTGAGGTGGTGGGTGTTGGCTGTGGTGGTGGAAGTCCTGGGGATGGAGGGTTTGGGGAGTATAGAGCTGGGGACGGGGTTGGGGTGCTATTGCGTAGTAGGCGTATTTTTGGTGTGGGAGGGTTGGTTGGTGGTGTTGGGGTGGTTGTGGTGGGTGTTGGATGTTGTGATGCTGTTGTTGATATTGCTGTTGAAGTTGCTGGGGCTGCTGCTGTTTCGCGCAGATTGCACCGGGAAAGGTGTGATGTCTTTTTTGCTGAGAATCGTTTTCAGCCGTATTTGCTTGGTTCTTTTTGCGGTAATGCCGGTGGAGCAGGTAGCCGCCTGCGACTATCTCGAGACCGCCGAAGATCATGGTTGTGGGGTGAATTGGTACCGGGTAGGGTACGCTTCGTAAGGGAAAAAAAGCAGGGCTAGGGAGGGTAGCTGGAGCTGTGGAAAAGGATGCCTGCTAGGCAAGAGGTAAAATAGGTGACTGAGGCCATGACCATGGGCTTTGTGCTCAGCCTCTTTCTGTCACACGGGTTGTGGGAGCTATTGGGTGCCGCAGCTCCGAGCGTGGTGGCGGAGTCGAAGAGGTGTAGTTACGATAGCCAATCAACGCATTGCGCATACTTTACCGTATCCACATGCGGGCAACGCCCTCTGCCTCATCGCCCTGTCAACAATCAACCAGACTAATGTCCAAAAGAAATCCATAGGAATCATCGTGTGTTTCATCTTTCCAATCAGCTTTACAGCTTCATACAACAGTCAGATAATCACGCCTTGTCTTCTACTCAGACATGTAATGCATTGATATCTACACGAAGCGTAGCGCCCTGCCTAACAAACCCCTCCATAGTCAGCTGCACGAATTACATGACGTGATATCGTTTGAAGATCACTAACAAATACCTACTAGGGATACCAAAGGATATCCTTGTAGTTCATACATCGCTCCATTGGCTCCGCATCACACTATCGGTACAGATAAGAAGATCTAACAAATGACGAGAGCACAACCAAGTGGTCAGTTCTAATTCGAGACTAACAGTGCAGTAACTCTTGGAAAATACTCACAGTGCTTGAATTGTATAAGCAGGCATTACCCGAATCAATCGATATTGTGTTGACTTCTCCAATCAACCCCGCTACTGTATTATGCGCATGAGACATAATCAATCCGATAGTAGTCTCTTGCATACGGAGCTTACTCTTTGATAGCTAGGAACTAAACCCTGACCCTGCATCGACATACCCATTGAACATCTGTACCCCGATCATCCACACTTGGTGGACTAAAACAGCCGGATAAAAAATCACGTCAAATGTCAACCCGAGTCACTGCTAAAATCATAACAATGGATGTTAGGAGCTTTACAAAACATACAGAGTCCTCATGAAATGTGGCGTGAGTAATTTAACTACTTTTCAATAGCTAAGCAGTGCGTAATATTGTCTTTGTAGCGTAGTTGCATTGTCGTTGTAATACGAAGCGCAGCTTTTATCCGGCTATTTTGGTCCACCAAGAGCTTCCATCAGAAAGATTCGCTCTCAAACTCCAGCTTCTTTTTGACGCTAAGCGGCGGCTGATCAAAGTACCGAGACATTTTCCATACTGTCATAGCCAAATGTGAACCACGACTCTTGGCCTCTGGAAGCCTAAACTCCGCTTGTCTTGTGTCCTAAACTCTAGTTACGGTCATTCTCTTCAGTCACTCTTGCCAAGTGAGTCGATGATTCCTTGTTGAGGGTGGCTTCAACTTCCTAGGACTGCTGGGTTCATCAAAGTACTGGGATATCGATAACTATCAATTCGCAGGAAGAGTGTTGCAAGATTGCCGTGGCAAAAGTATGCCAAATAAGCGGTGAGTTCTTTTGGAGTATCTCCAACTAGAGTCTTGTGTAGAAATTGATGGGGTAGATAATGGTCCTAATGAGATGAAACCTTTTCTTGCTTGCGAACAGTATTGGGCGAGACTAATGTAGCCATGCATAGTAACAACAGAGTATCAATGGTTAAATAGACGGATTTGATGTATATTTCATTCGCTAAGCTGTTGAGAAGCCAACATGTTGCCAGGGTACTGCACCAGGCAAGTATGTTCAGGTCGAAGTAACTTTTCCACTCTCCAGATCCCCACTTTGCTCGACTCTAGCCAAGGGGGATGGCTCCTGGTTCAATTTTGTTCGTTTGATTCCAAACGACACCAAAAGTCCCAAAGCACCAACAACGGTGTACAGAATCCACACTCTCCTCAGTGGGCCCATAAAGCTTTGGTGGACGACCTCCTTCTGAGCCGCAGTAAGGTCGCCGATTTGGACACCTTGGGAAATCGCTTCACCGCTAACAAGCTTAGTGGCAAACTCTATAGAAATGCCGCTGTCTACTAGTCTTTGAAAATTGGGCACCGTCAGATACTGAAAGATTACCTGGCTCAGGACTAGACCAATAGCGCCCGATATCATGCGAACGAAGCCAAAAGCCGCTGTACCAGTAGCCATGTCGCTGTCTTGTATTTGTGTTTGCAGGGCGATAAGCGGAGCTGCGAAATTGGGGCCAAACCCGAGTCCAATGACGGCCAAGATGCCAATAACTTTTCCGAGATCAAACGATGCGTCGAAGATGATAAGAAGACCGACGCCAAGCGTCATCAAGAACAATCCTATCTGGAGTACTTCGATAAAGCGACCGATTTTTTCAATGACCCATCCTGATGTCAAAGAAACGATTGCCAGCGGTATTGCAACGGCGAGCATCAAGAGTCCAGTGGCTGCCGGACTCATTTCGAGGACGATTTGAAAGTAAAGCGGCAGGAAGTATGCCACTGAGTTGAATACCAAAGCGTCGCATGCACAAACACCCAGCGCGCTGAGGTTGCTGATGTCTTTGAATATGCGCAGGGGCATGATGGGACTGCCCCCGCGTTTGTCCTCCCACCACTGGGAGAATGGAAAGGCTACGAAGATTGCTGATCCAAGGACGATTAGTGAGATGACCATCGGGCTGGCATAGGAGCCACCGCTGCCCATCTGAAGACCGACCAGCAATAAGACGGCAGCAGTGATGATAGTAGTTATGCCAAGCCAGTCAACAGAAGCAAGGCCCTGAAGGAGTGGCGTTCTGGGATCGTGGAGTTCGAGAGTGAAGTAGAGCACAATGATTGAAATCGTAACAATCGGTATGTTGATGTAGAAACACCACTTCCAATTCAGCTCTTCGGCAAAGATACCGCCGAGCACTGGACCCAGAGCAGAGGCGAGTGCCCATGCTGCTCCAACCATGCCCATGTAGAAGGAGCGGTTGCGAATTGAAAACAAGTCACTGACACATACGTGGACCAGTACCACTACACCCCCGCCACCAAGACCCTGGACAGCTCGACCTGCAACCAGCATGGGGGCATTGACGCTCACTCCGCAGACAATGCTACCGCCCAGAAAGATGGAGTTTGCGATGAGCAAAACCGACTTTCTTCCAAAGACATCCGACAGTTTACCCCAGAAAGGTATCGATGCGGCATTGGTGAGAAGGTAAGCGGATCCGGTCCAGGCATAAAGTGAATCCGGAATTTGGAAAGACTGCGATATGGTAGGTAGGGCGGTAGGTATGAGAACCGTATCAAGAGCTACTAAAAACAGCGAAAGAGTAAGCGCGACGAATGCTGCCATTATCCGGAATGGCGTTCGACTATCAGCGGCTGGTGGGCTTTTGCTTGCGACCGATGAGCGGGGGCTGACGCCTGCAGGTTGCTGTTCCTCCTCTTTCACGCTCATCTCGTCCTTTTTGGACTGCATCGGCATCATCTCCACTGTGCTTGTAGCGTCATTTTGCGAATGGCTGGTATGCCCCGTCTGCGATATCAATTCCAGCGCGTCGGCTAGACTTGAATCCACGGTGGGCGTCTTAAGCATGGTGGCGAATGCTCAAGACTGTAGCGTAAACGTGACTTTGTTTATCACGCATCTGTCGTATGCGAGCAACTTGGGTATTTGTAGTCAGCCAAGGGCATACCTTGTAACTAGGCTATATCCGTTTCCAGCGCCACCTCATGTCATGATGAAGACCGACTAGCTATGCCAGCCATCAACAACCTTTGACCCCACCTATCTGCGTTTTATGAGCTCTCATACGTCTCTGGCAAGAATGCTTGCTGCAGACTGAATTAGTGTATGTTGAAATTGACGAGTAGCATAAGCTACAAACACTCGGTAAGTTTTGGCTTGGGAGGGTTAGCATTAGTGTGCATCAATCGGCTGCACAGATGCGGAACTACCCTACCTACAGATATTGGCTAATGTTAGACCTCTCACAGTTCATGCAGTAGTCGTAGTACAAACACGGGCCCCGAGAGCTTGTACCCTGACGCCACAAACGTTTCTTGTTGCGTATCCAATGGCGTTTCGTGCCGCGTTGTCTGCCTCAAGTTTGTCGTCAGTCTCTCAAACGAGCTCCTAGCGCCATGCTCGCAGTCTTTGACTCGCCTACTAATACTTCTGTTTGACTAAGATACACGACAGTAGTGCCGTGGCGAGATTACCTACAACTGGGTTTACTTCTTGTCCAACATCTGAACTATCGCCAGGTGAGTACACAGTGGCTGATGATGATGTGTAGAAGAGATGCTGGGTGGTCCACCTGAAGCCCGCATTTTATGGCACGATGTAACAGCAAACGTGCACGATATGACAAGGCATCCTTGGTTATTGCAACCGCCATTTCGGGAATAGGTAGTCTGCTGTAGCCAAGCAATTCGGGGCTTGCAGTGACGGTATCGGCAATGTATTAAGGGTGGAGTAGTACATGATCTTTCCTATTAGGGGATGTTGTCAATGAAATAGGGTAGTTGAGTGTTCTGAATCGCTTGTCCGGCTTGACGCCATGTGCCTGGTATGGAAAGCTACACCTCCAACAACTAGATTGATTCAGGAAACTTGGCTTGTGACACATTCTTTATTGAGCACTCTTATCCATCGGAAACGTTGCTTGTGCTTTTGCTTAACAGATGCGATCCGTCTGCACGTGAGCGGTGAAAGGCCCTCACAAGCGGTGACTCGCGTGTCGTGCGGCTCCGAGAGGATTCCCGTGCATACAGACTGCTGTGAAAGGTGCTGCTGCATTGTTTCAGGCTCGTTTACCTATGCTTATTGTAGAAGAAAAAGCATAGAGCGGCAATTACCGACACATGGCGCATGATAGCTATCGGCAGAATAAAATGTAGAGTATGTATACACAGATCCACAATACTTCATTATCTTGCAGCAAGGCTGGAGACGTACCCAATCATGGACAGATCCTGAGCTAGAGCGGGGTATGGATGGGATGGAGTACTTAACACTTGACCGTACTTTTCTTACGCTTTCGCCAGCCCCATGGATACCTGGACTTCGCAAAGGAGGACAGCCAATAACATCAGGACTTGGAGTGGATACCCGCATGGCGATCGTCCAGATCTCCCATGGGTCTGCAATTTGACGAGAAGGATTGCAGAAGCAAGGTCATTCCGTGGTATTCAAAGGTAATAGGCGGTTGTAACACAAAGGCGGAGAGAGCAAGCGCTAAGCGCCTGTGTTCCATGGCATCCACCCACGCAAGGGGGATCAACTGTATGGCACTATGTACTTGCAGTAGCTCTTTGTTAGAAGTTTGGTAATGCTTCCCGCAACTAAAATTGCGACTTATTGTCGATCACAACCGTTCGGTCGCGCCGCAGCCACGTAGTCGGTGGCGAGGTAACTCGAGCACTACATGTAGTGCTGCGCGGAGATGGATGGGATTGGATGCCAGGTTGAAGTGCATGTACCACGGTATGTCAGGAGAGCCGAAAGTATGGTGTCGGTGATAGATGGTGGAGAAAGGCTGAAGCAATACTAAAATCCCACCACGGTGCCTAGCAGTCGTGAAGATCCGCTCTTTTCATGGTATAGTATGGTTGGGGGCACTTTCAAGAAAGAAATTAGCATGATGCTGGTGTCTGCTATATTAATGTGGCTAGATTGGGCAAAGTGCGCATTTGGCGATAGTATTGAATGGCCGACTACGGGCAAAGGCATGCAGATAACGTGCACAAGGTTGGGTATGATGAAGATCTCCAGATGATACCGTGGTGATGCGGCAAGACAAGAAGGAACGCCGGGGAATCTGCGGCCCGATCCCGTCGTCACATCGCACAAAAGTAAACCCCGCACGTACTCTACATCTCATCCACCCACCTCTCTGCAAGAAAAGAAATGAAAAAAGAAACATGACTTGTCTGGTGAGCCGTTTAGCCATCTTGCAGGACGTTGTTCCAGATCTAATCTGGATGACTTGGCACTTATCTTATGACTATCGGTATCCGGTCTAAAGATTCAGGGACACGACTTCATTTCCGCCCACGAATCTTTTCAGGTTACTCCATGGCCGAGGAAGTCTTGAGGGCTTTCATGGCATGACGAAATCGCTGCTTACAACACGTTGCTATGATTACCACATCACCGCGGCTGCATAGACAGACACTATACAGGGCCACTATACCGCATCAACCCTAGTTGTCACGTGCTGATTACTATTCTCCACCTGACCATGCTGAAGTCACACAATCTCGGTAGTTATAGACCTCAGCTGAGTAATTAGCCATAATCGCCGAGGCGCAAAGTAACGATGCAGCGGCCGATGCAGCAGTTAGAAATGAACAACGTTTGTGGTATAGTGGCATCGAACGAAACTACAGCTCCGCCAAAGACCGAATTGACGACATTTGAAAGTAGGATTCAAGATGAGATTGAACAGATATAAAAGGTCATGATGAGAATATCAAAAAGCTCATCATACAGCACTATCCAGCTCGCACATCACCAACTCTTGAGCATTCATCCAAGAGCCAGCCTCCCCAACTCTCTCAAATCCCTATCCCCACCCCCAAAATGTCCATCCAAAAAGTCCTCATCCTCGGCGCAACAGGCTCGGTCGGCCGCCCCATCCTGACCGCACTCCTCGCCTCTCCCACCCTCCAAATAACAATCGGCACGCGCGCCAGCTCCCGTGCTACCTTCCCCCAGGGCATCCCCGTAAAAACCATCTCAGACGCCTTCACAACCGCTGAACTAACCACCCTCTTCACGGGCCAAGACGCCATCGTCGTCGCCCTATCTACTGCCCCCGTCACAGCCAGCGGCAAAGACAGCCTCGCCTTCCGCCTCATCGACGCCGCGCTCGCGGCAGGCGTGAAACGCTTCATCCCCAGCGAGTTTGGCGCGAATAACCTGGATCCACGGGCGAGAGCTCTCGTACCTACTTACGACATCAAGGGGGATATGCTATCCTACCTTATCGAAACCTGCGAGAAGAGCGGGGGTAAGATGACGTGGAGTAGTATCTGCTGCGGTAGCTGGCTCGACTGGGCGCTGAATCCCGCCCAATCTGGGAATTTCCTCGGGATTGATGTCAAGGCGAGGACGGCAAAGGTGTGGGATTCAGGCAATAACAAGTTTGCCGTTACGTCGAGTAAGAACACGGGCAGGGCGGTTGCGCAGGTGTTGCTCCACGCAGATGAGACGGCTAACAAGCAGATTTTTCTCTGCGATTTCATGGTTAGCATCAGGGAAATTGTGGGCGCCTTGGAGAAGGTGAGTGGGGAGACGTTCAGGATCGAGGACAAGGAGAGTAAGCCCGAGATCGAGGCGCTGAAGAAGAAGTATGAGAGTGGAGATGCGAGTGCGACGTTTGGACTCCTGGCATTGAGTTTCGGCGCGGATGTAGATGTTGGGTACGATTTTCCGGGTGAGCAGCAGGTCTGGAATGAGAAGTTGGGGTTGCCCAAGGTTACGCTGGAGGAGTTGGTGGAGGAAGCTATGCAGCTGGCGGAGAAGTCGTAAGACAGATGAAGTTTGAGAAACTAATCATTTACTTGGTTGATATGAATGAAAACTTTTCGAATTCCCTCCAGCAACCCCCGTAGAACGCCATACGATTCGATTTTGTAGCATACAAAATTCCCAAACGCCTCAACACCAAACCTGGCTAAACAATCAACGAGACATTGAAAGAACCCATCACATATCGTACACAACACCCTTCCGTGAATTGAGAATGAACCTCACGACTTCAACGCCACAGGACTCTTCGGCGGCGGCGTCTCCACGCCCACCGAATCGGCCCTCTTCCGCACCATCGTCGTCCCAGTCCCAGGCACAGTATTATCATACTCATACCACACTCCTTTTACCCGTCGATTCAGCTTCCTCGGCGGCGGACTAATCCGACTCGCAAGCACCCCACTCGATGTTGTTGACCCCACTGAGTGCAAACTCGCCGCATCAGAGCCCACCATGCTATGGTTGTTATGTGTGAAAGACTCGAAACTCTGTATCATGGATTGGCACGTCTGCGCGAGGTCTGATTGCGCTTTTGCTAGGGAATTGACGTGGGATAGCGTTGATGTGAGGAGATCTTTCGCTTCGTCCTGAGCTTTTTGGCTGCGTTCTTGAGCTTGGCGCGTTGATTCTTGCGATTTGAAATGTTTGTTGGAGAGGGCGATGTAGTGGGATGCGTTTTGGTCAACGAGAGACTGCAATTTGAGTTGGGAAGCGGAAATAGCTTTTATCTGGATGCTGTTTGATTCGTTGATTTCTTGCATTGCTTGTAGGCCGGTTGATTGGGCGACGGAGAGGGCGTGGACTTGTTCGGCGTTTGTTTCGACAATGTTGGCGAGGCGGGTGAGGCTTTCGGCGAGGCTGTCGAGGGCGGTGGTGTTTGGCTTTTCTTCGGACGGGGGAGGAGAAGGTGGGAGGGCGAGTGTGCCGTTGGCGTGTTGGATGGGAAGGACAACGGGGGAACAGGTGGGACTATCTTGGGAGGAGTAGAACCATTTGTTGCGGAGGTCGAAGAATTTTAGGTCGTCTTGTATGAGTTCCATGTCTTCGCTGCGCATGATGAAGAATTGGGGGCTCGGGCGGCGGGCGGACGAAGGGTAGTTTTGCTGGACAAGTTGCCACCATTGTGAGCATACGGCAGCCGAGGCGAATGTGAGGATGTACGGAGGCGAGGATGGGTAGTCGCTCTATGGGTTCTGTCAGTCTGGATGTCCAGGTATAGTGTCGCAAAGAATACAGCAAACACCACTTACTCGCTTCGCATAGGCATAGAAGAGAGTCTCGCCTTCCTCTGTCTCTACCCGTTTCTCTTCGGGAGGTCGACTATCACTCCACTTGCGTGGCGACATCGATCCAGTAGCCAACGGAGACTCTGTATTCATCATCAAGCCAGCTGCGAGCGAGATGCTGGGTTTCTTGCGTGTGGACTGGGTTCTTCGCTCTGGCGACGTCTGTCGTCGACTGTGTATGCGTCTTTCAAAATTCGAGGTGGTTGTTTGCTCAAATAGGGACTTGGACGAGTCCATAAGAGCCGTAAAGTCGGGCATGCTTTGTGGTCGCGACATGTCTGCGGTTGGTGCTAGTGGAGGGATGTCTGGGTCTGGGTCGGGAATGTAGTGGCAGCAAAAGACGTCGTCAAAGTTATTGGCTAAATGACACCTGAACGACATAAAGCTTCATGAGTTGTCGGCTGCTGTAGTGTAGTTGCTAAAGATAACAACACATCCGGACAAGGGTTGCTGAACAGTGGTAGTGAGTGTGTGGGAAGTGTGGGAACTGGTCCTCATCCTGGTCAATGACCTCACGGTAGCAGGGGATGCTTGGACGTGCATGCGCCATTGGGTGTTTTGGACTAGCGGAAGGCGGACCATCACTCTATCGAGTATCTCATTGAACAATGGCCCGTGGGAAAAGAATCGCACTGCGCGAGGCGTTGCCACCTCCTCGACGCCAGTTGATGCAAGATACAGCTGTTGTCCACCCATTCGACAGTCTCCGTCTCATGGCGCGAATGCAGGGGGACAGGTTGCACATTGGAAACATAAAGTTCAGGGGCGCACCAACGACCCTAGCGGTACAAATGAATATGGATGTGTGTGGATACGCCATACTGGCCTGTTGTTTGAGAAATTTCGCGTACGCGTCGGTGGCGATGACGGTTGCAGGAGTTTCGGCTTCCAGGGTAGGGTGGGGATGCGAGCGGGGAATGACGAGAGAGCACGTGCCTGGCGTCTTCACGACAGGGCCCTGGACCATTACCATCGATATTCTATGCAGATATTGAACAGGATTCCACGGCTATCTCTTGCCAGCACTCATGGTTTTTGTTTTTAGTGACAACCGCTGGCTGCATCGGTGTGTGCGTCATGGTTGCTTTTCCTGAAGCACACTCCGCTCAGCAAAACAACATCCCCATTGGACAATGCCGCACAACGGGGGCTGTAGCGCGGCCGAGTGCTCCTTGTTATCTGCCCATTCGGTTTCGAAAAGCAAAATATATTTCGTCTATCGGCACAACGGCAAGGCAAGACGTGTTAATGGATCCATGGATATCATGTGTGTTAATGTGTGTATTTGTTGTTGTAGCGCGACTGGTATTCCGAATGCAAGTAGCGTTTCTCGATAGACACCCGAAGAGCAGACCAGCGATGAGTTCGATGTTGCGAGATGTGTCGCCAACCGTATGTCACTGAATCACCCCTCCTTTACTGCGTATACCACCAAACCATTCCCCTCCTCACTTTATATGTCGTCGAACCATCCCTCCATCACTGAGTATACCATCGAATCATTGCCCTCCACTCATTACACCGCTGGATCATCACCCTTCCCCTCACGTCGATACACCGTATACACCTCCTCGTGAATGCCCATGTCCTTTTCCAGTCGGATCAATACCCCCCAGTAACAAGAGTGCTCAATGATCAAAAGTCCCTTCGAAAATATGCGCCCAAATGAATGAAAGAAAAAAACTATTCGTACTTACCATTCATATGCAGTGCAGTGCGTGCGTGACGGAATTCCAGGATGTAAAGAATCTGCGGCGCGAGAAACTCCTCCTCATGATCCTACTCTTCAACGCCCACCTTGACCTCGAAATGGTCCATATCTTTAAAGCCGTGCTGAGCCAGCCAATTGTCGGGGATTTCGGACTTGAACTCTGTCATCCAGGGTTCGGCCCTCTCCCTCCTGAAGATGATGTGTATGTATGGGTTTGGTACCACTGGGACACGGAACATCTGGACGTTTGGCGGGTAGATGCCATTCGCGGCGGGTATGGGAGTAGAGACCGCGAGGAGATCTTGAGGGATGGCACATCCTGGTGTTGAAACGTATCTTGTTGGTGGAGCGCGATGGATACGGACTGAAGCAAGAGACCGGCAGCGCAGAAGCTCTTCCCAGTGCTCGTTCGTGTCTGAGCAAGTCTGGTCTCTCTGAACTTGACGGCCAAGGAGGCGGTAGCTGTAATACAGTCAGCACATATGTTCCTTGCAAAGGCCTAGTTAGGTTGAAAAGTGCATGCGACTTACAAATCCTTTGTCTCTACATCGCCGTGCCATTGGTAGCCATCCGTTGCGTAGCCACTCGTCCCATAGCGACCGAACCCAACCTTCATTGAGAAGCCGTTTGCCCAAACCTCAATCAGAGGTAGTACTTCGATGCCTTTTGGGCCACGTTCTTCTTTGGTGGCCGTATCGCCAACTGCGACCGTGACATGGCCGGCGAAAGACAGGGTCGACTCGCGTTCTCCTGAAGGACCGATCGTGGCAAGCTCTTTGTCGGCAGAGAGGTAGAAGGCCTTGACATAACGGGGTATGTTGGCCACGTCAATGCCAATCTCCTGGTTGGTCAAGTAGAGAGGGCGAAACTCCCACCTGAGCTGTCGGCTCGCCTGCGTCAAGCCCCAAAATGGACGGTTAGTTTCTCGAGGAATGTTCTCGGAACCATTGGTGATGCTGCTGTCGCTTGACAGTCTTTCGTCGTGTTCCTGGGCGGTGATATCTGAGGCGAGGGTGCGGCTTCGGTCAAGTCTGGTACGGGGGCGTAGAGAGGCGATGCGTGGCCGGTGAACGAGCACGAGTTGGGTCTTCTCGGCGTGCATGTACTCGTAAATTCTATTCCGGATCTCTGTGATTATTTAGCTTGGACTGACTTTCGCCGTTGGAATCAGTGGTACTTACCTCCGGGGAGATCCAGGAACCGGGAGGATTTTGCACCTTCACGTTTTGCAACCTCAGTTGCCTCTGTCGTGTTTGTACCGGCTGTAGAAGCTTGGCGTTTTGTGCTTCTCTTGACTGACCGCTTCTGGATGCCGGCCGCAGCGGCGCGGCGAGAAGTCGAGGAAGGGTGAGGAGTCGAGCCAGAGCGAGTTGGTCTTCCCTTGTCAACAAGGTTCGCTTCATGCTTACCAGAGGTCCAATATCATACAAAAATATATGCAAAAACAACAACAACAACAACAACAACAACAACAACAACAAAAACACGAAAAGAAAATCTAAATTAAAACAACAACAGGGAGCGGGGGGTACCTACGCCATGTTGATATGTGTCAGTTCTCTGCTGTAACTTGACAGGACGTGAATTGTGGTCTATAGTGTGGTGGAGAAGGGAGCTTGCTGCGCGAGTTGCGTCTGGACTAGATAGCTGGAATCTTCTTGTGTCTTGAAAGATTTGTTCAGCTTGATCAAAAGGCTTCCTTGGGACTATCAGCCTCCAATTGTGGGTAGCAAAAGGACGAGAACAGTGGGGCGAGCGAAGATAAATATATATATACCCTTGGAGAGCCACGGACAAGTAAAGGTGAGCAAGAAATTTCTGCTGCAGGACAAAACGCCGGTGATAGTTAAAACTCGCAGTGATCAAGGGTCGAGGTGACCATGCGTTCACGGTGAGGTGAGCATTTCTCTTGGTGACTGGCAATGAGGTTGGTCTTTCATCAGCTTCATTGCGAACACTGAGTCCCGTACTGCTTAGGAAGAATTAGACCATCTTGTTTGGATCAATTTGTTTCATCAATAGCCAGAGTAGTAACTGTCAATCTCGAGAGGATCACAGCTATGCCATCGTGACTGCTATACCGCCAAGGATTTCGGTATGGAAGCAGCATCTTGAGGGATTTTAGCTAAAGCAAACGCAAAGGCCCATTCAGTGGAATGCAGACGCTCTACAAGGAGGGCAAAGTTAGTTCTGCATTGCTGTGGTAGATTTTTATGACGTACTCTACGAGTCACTGCTATTCCAGTCGGGCTCACACAGCTTTGAGGACATTGCTTGTTGTTGTGGGGAAGGGGGAAGGAGGAAGTGGAAGAAATGCTAACCTTGAGCATGGAGGAAGGATGGTAGTTTTGACGAGCAGACCCCTTAGGTAGCAAATATAAGCCTTATGTCAAAAAATGAGATTGGTTCCATACCTCAAAGGCCATTTTGTGTAGTGCTTAGTACTAGATTTGGTCAGACATCACTATTGCCACGTGGGTTGAGTTAGGGACCATGTACCAAAGAACAAAATTTCAGCTCATCAACTCATAAATTCATCTGCATCTCGTATCCCTGCCTTATGGCAGCACATATCCACCATCAATAATACAATCGCTTCCCGTCATATAACTCGACGCATCGCTCGCCAGATACAAAAACAGACCCTTGATCTCCTTAACATTTCCCTGTCGTCCAAGAGGAATCATGCGCAGTCCCTCGTTAATAACCAGTGGACCGGCACCCATCTTCGTGTCGAAGAATCCCGGGCTAACAATGTTCACCCTCGCAAACTCCCTCCACTCGCGTGCAAGCGACTTGCCCAGATGCGACACAAAAGCTTTTGTGCCGTTGTAGATTGGCTGGTCAACGGGCACATTGACAATGTGGGCCGAGATACTCGATGTGAGGATGAGGTTGCCGAATCCTTGCTTCTTGAAGACCTCGCCGGCGTACTTGGCGCAGTAGACTGGCCCGTCGACGTTGACACGCATGAGGTTGTGGTAGGACTCTAGTGTTTGGTCGAGTAGTGGCTTGCTATCTCCTGTACCTGCATTTGCTACGAAGCAGTCGATGCGGCCAAAGTCCTCGACAACCTGCTTGACGGCTTTTTCTACGGCAGCGGCATCGGTCTGGTCGACGCTGTACGCTTTTGTCTTGACGCCGTGCTCTTTTGCTAGGGTCTCCGCACGCTCGATGGCTTTGCTGTTGGAATTGTACCATAGGGCTACGTTGCCTCCTGCTTCAGCCATGGCATCTGCGACGGCACCGCCAATGCCCTCAGCGGCTCCATTGACGACAATGGTCTTGCCCTTCATGCTGAATTGTTGCATCACATTGGCGGGCGTATCAGGCACCGGCTTGGGAAAGCCAGCACGTGGCGTTTGGCATTCCTCCACTGACATAGACATGTTGGCGGTATTAATATGATGTAAGGCTTAAGTGAGAAATAGGGCTGTCCGAAATGAGGTGCCTATGGGAGGGTGTTGAGTGCCGAGATATGCAGTTGACGTGCAAGCCTTTTATACGTTTCTCTGAAATCCGGAAGAAATACCATTTCCAACGAATACGACAGACCATACTTGCCCCACGACCCCAATGCTGGGTGTGTCTGCGTCACGGGTAGGTGTTGTGGGGCAGACCTGGAGGACTGTCGTCCGGGGACTCGTTCTCATACGGCCCGATCTCTATTCCAAGACTAGACTGCACCTCGGCTAACCTTCCTTTGCCACAGGCCCGGCTTACTGAAAACGATGCTGTTGTGCACTCTGGCACTACATCTATCTCCATCGAGGCGCATGAGAAATGGAGCTTCGGGCAAAATGCCGCTTGAATTAAAGGTCTAATGATTTATTATATGTACAAGAAGAGAAGATTTGACGCCTTCAAACACCTTTACTGTTCCTTGCTCTTCTCCTGGTGCAGTCCTCCGTTTTCGCCGTTCATACTCTCCCGTTCTGTCGTCTCTCCACTCTCAGCCACTTCTGATCCTTTGCTCTCTTCGTCTCTCTTTCTGTCTTGGACGATATCCGGCGCCGGTGCAAACTTGCTCTTGGCTCGGATCCTCTTTCCATACAAGTAAAAGAATATAGGCATGGGTACCAACACTGCGGCTACACATCCAAGTAGTGTGCTTGCCCACTCGATGCCCATGCCCTCAAACATGAAGGTAGCGAAAAGGGGAAATACGCCTCCAAACATGGAGCGCATAAACGTGTTTGCGGCAATGGCTGAAGCAGCGAACATGAGATAGGCGTCCACAATGTAGTTGAGCAAAGAGAGGAAAATAGAGAAGATTCCGAATCCAGTAAAGAGACCAGAAAGGACGGGAACAATCCAGTGGACATTACCAGTGTAGCCTGACCAACCAAACCAGAAGAGGCCGGCTGTTGTGCGTTAGCAGGGGTCAACCGAAACCTTGTTAGACGAATACGTACCAGAAAAGAGGACGCCGCCGACCATGGCAATTGGTAAACGCCACTCTGGGACAGGAATATTGTTGTTTGCAGCCAGCTTCTTGGCGTATCGTGGGTTGTCACATACGACTACGATAAAAGCAATGATTTCACCAGCGACCATACCAAAGTACGCGAGGCCTCCGATGCCAGCACTCCAGCCATACACACGTTGGAAGACGAGAGCATAGGCAGTCAGGAAGAGGTAGAGCAGGCCATCTGGTAGAATTAGCATACCGCCCTGAAGCGAAGGACCACATTTCTTGGACTTACAGATAAAGCTCATGTAAATGGTGATGAGTAAGACGATGGGCTCTGTGAACAGGATGCGCATGGGCCTGCTGACGTTTTTAATAATCAACTCCTTAAAATCAACCTCAATCTCCTCTTGCTTTGCGTGTATACCCCAGTTCTTTGTTCGACGTCGGAGCTCGCTTGCCTTGTTGATGAGTATGACGGGTGGGTACGTCTCTTCCAAGAAGAACAACAGTAACGCAAACGCCAGGAATCCCATGAAACTCGAAACGTATTCGGTCCACCTCCATCCAAGGTAGCTTTGCGTAATGAAGCCACCGATAAACGGGGCAAGTAAAGGACCCATGAAAACCGTGGCAGAAAAGACGGCGACAGCTAGACCACGGAGCCGGTTGTCAAACATGTCGGCGAAGACAGCTGCGACAATGGCCAGTGGTGATGATCCAAAGAGACCGGCGAAAAAACGGGAAATCATAATGGTTTGGAGATCTTTGGCTACGGCGACAGCGATGCTGAAGATGGCGAATCCAAGGGCGGCGATGATGAGAGGAGGTTTTCGGCCGTATAGCTCGGAGAAAGGTGCCCACATCTGCAGGTTGTTAGTACGTTATGTCTCTGGTTGCGTGGCGTGGATATGTACATACCAAAGGTCCAAAGGCATATCCAAAGACGAACAAACTCGTACCCAGCGTGCCTACAACATTTGCGACACCAAACTGGCGAGAGACGGGAATTGTTGCAGCTGAAAAGATGCTGGAGCCCATGGTGGCAGCGAGCGCATCAAAAGCCAGCATAGCACCGATTCCTAGCTTCTTCTTCATGGGCCAATTTTGCGGGTGTAGTGGGTCATCTACGCCATCAAACTCAACGACATATTCTTCCCTGTCGGGCAGAGGCGGAGGAAACGGCTTGCCAGCACCAAGGTTGGGCAGGGGCTTCTCGGTGCGACGTCGTGTGAGGGTTCTGGACAAACGTGAATCGGATGGAGAGGCTCCAACGGTGCCTGCATGCTGGCTGCGATGTGTTTCTATGCGGCGGATGGCTTCAGGGTGACGTTCGGTAGGGTGCAGGGTGAGGTAGTTTGCGCTCGAGGTCTGCGAGTTGACAGTCGGTCGGCGATCGCGTGCGGGCGTCGAATGTGCGGTACGGATTTCCTCGAGGCGGGCGCCATGTGTCGAGGCCGAACTTGTAGAGCTCGTAGTCGAGGTAGAGGATGTGCTGTGGCGTGACAGAGGCGATGCGACTTCCTCTACTTCCTCTCTCACAGGTGTTGCTTCTTCCTCGCGTGGGGCTAGCGACTCGCTCGCTCTGCGCTCTCCACGCTCATGGGCTGCAATGTTGCGCTCACGCTCAGCAAGAGTCTGGTCGTGCATGTGGCGCTGGTGGTACTGCTCGCGAAACTGGCGATTGGGATCCCATGTTGAATAGACTTCTGGATTCGCATTGGCCTCGTTGCGCAGAACCTCGTAGTCTTCCTCCTGCATGGTGGTGGCACGCTTGTCTTTGGTCCAAATCTGGCAGCAGTTTTTGGTGGTGGTTGAGTGCAGGAAAGAAAACAATCTTGGGCAGCCCGAAACTAGCCACTCAATGCCGACAGTTCGAGCCTGACGTCGGACGATCGTAGTGGAGCTGGTGGATCTTGCCTACTAGTACGCGACGGGAGGGCTATTTAGTCTTGTCGTATATCCGGGAGTTGGGCGCGGCTGGTGTCGCAGCTTGACGGCCCTATTGTTGCAGCCGGCCATTGGAAAGAGAGACACTCCATATACTCGAGCACATAGCTGTGGGCCCGATAGTGTCGTCGATCTAGCCATGACCATTGCTGTGTCACCACCCAAACGAGCAAAAAAAGTTTGGGTTCGAGTATGGAAGTGTGGCTGAGTAAGCCATAAGTGGCTGACCGAGCGCAGGCGGTGAGGCGCGGCCGAAGTTTATTGGTGGGCAGAACGGGCGCAACAGGAACAAATCTTTGCCGTGCACATACGTCACTCGACCAACATGCTCGGTAAGCCCCTCAACACCAAAGCACTGCCGTCACTGTGCATCAGCGCCTGGCATTGATTCGGCTCGCAGCCGGGGGAGTGATTACGTAGCATTCCTTCTTCTCTTTCGTACGTATGTACACAAGTACTGAGTACACGAGCCTTCTAACAACCGCCTAGCAGATCCGCAGGTCCTCGGAACACCCCTTGTGCAACATGGCCCAATCACAACGCCCCACCCGCCATTAATAACAGTGCCACACAGACCATGCCTTCAGTGAGCCCCTCTTATTTTATTCTGCGTCCACTCGGCCAAGCTAGGGACATACACATCACATACGTACTGCACTACCTACGCCTAGTCTTCAGTAATAAGGCCCCATTGATCTGGTGCAGCCAGATCGATGAGCGTATATATGGGCACTCCGTGCAGCCAGATCAGCCAGATTGATAGCTATATAGGCAGCCAGTATAGCTATCATACTTCCATCTTCTTCTTTTATAGTACTAGTCTTTATTATAAAAGTTTTAGTTTCGTAATTTTCAAGTTTGAATTTAGTGGTTATGAATTCCGACCTTTGGGGCGTAATCGTCACCCGTAGATAGGCCCTAAGTATTTAGGCAAGATCAAACGTCGTTGCTCCCTGATTGCAGAAGGCAGGGCACACCACCTCAGGTCGGCAGTGGCCCCTAAGCTCTTGCCACCTGTCGTGTATTGTCAGCTCCTTTGTCCTGCAAGCCCAACATTTTGCCCAAAGGATAAAGCATACTCTTTATCTCACTATCTCGTTATCAAGCCTTTGACTTTTCTAAAGTTCCCTCGCTCAGCAAAACGCTTACGCGATGAGGATCCTCCGATTGTTAACTCTATCTTACTCTTTCGCTATCGTCTCCGGGGGTGGATACCAAGAATGTTTAGGCCGGATTTGGATGTTTCTGGCATATCAGATTAACGGTCTTAACCGCCCCGCCTTCCAAACTATTGGATTTAGATGCTTGAGCTGGGATATAAGCAAAAGTAGCTGTGTGGGTGGTTGGCGTTCATGTATAATACCTCCAGTTCGATGCTCATTTGATGAGTGGCAGAGGTTTCTCGGCAGAGCACCAGTATACAACGGATGGGCTGCATACCAACCTGATGGTAGAAGACTGGATATTCAACAGACCGCCAAAATCTGTTACAACCGGTTCATCACAAATTCCCTCGCTAATGACCCTATGGTTAGGGGGGAATAGTCCGTATCTAAAACATTCGCCAGTGTCTTTCAACCCTTCAAAGAAGCTAAAGGAGTTGTCGCGATTAAGCTCTACCAGTCTCCAAGCTCAGTAAGCTTGAAATACAGATGCGGAAGGTGAAGGAGTTAGAACTATGGCTGAGCTCGAGCGGGCCGATACTTAGGAGGATAGGAAGAAGGTTTCGGTAGATTACATCTCCGAACATATAGATAAAAGCTACGTTCGAGCTCTCTTTGACCTAGACAGACAATTCATCACTTTTGTCTGCTAGTTACTTTATCCAAGCTTAGCTACTCCTCCACGGAAGGATAAAGAGAAGACAGATAAGGTTAAAGAAGAATAGTATACTACTACGTATTGTGAATGACTATAGGCAGAATTCTATTGAGCGGAACCTGACTCTATCATGAGATGGAGCGTGATGATCTTTCCGGAGTCATAGCTTCGACAAACAAGACGGCATCAAGTAGAGTACACGGCTACCCACACATGTTAAGAACGTGTTCTTTTCCCTCTGTGCTACCATGATGCCTGCACAGCCGGAACTGTTACTATTGGCAGTTTTGGTATCGGGTTAGAAGAGCCTTCTCCGCATCCACTTCCCCTTTCCATCCGCTCAGGCGAAAACGAAACCTGTCACCGAGGTCCGCAGCCGGTTAACAATACTACATACTTGTATATGTAGTACTTTTCTTTTGCGCCCCGCAAGACTGTACTTTTGGCACTCGCACTCGGTCCACGCCGGGAAGGTTTCCGCTCGCCCCCGCGCTGCACGCCAGCCACCGATATCGATCGAATCCTTCAGTATGCGCAGATGGGGCGAGATGCATTGCCATCGTATAGCAGTCGTCACCTCCGTCTTGGGATGCGACGCTACGCATACTACTTCCCGCTGACATCGTAGTGATAGCCAGAGCGGAGTCTCGCCGCCGCCGCCGCCGCCGCCTCTTATACGACAAAGCAAAGTGTTGTGATTTCAATTCACTGTGAACCTGCGACACGTGCTAGGGGTCAGCAATGCTGCTATTAAAAAAAAAGCATACATTGTTTTTGCCCCGTAAACGGTTCCAGCAGCGGATGGCTACATCCGAAGCTTTGACGCATTTGCCCAGTTCATGTCGGCAGGCCGCTGTCAGCTGCACGCTAGTCAACGGCGCTCCGGCATGTTTCAGCAAAAGCAAACATGGACGCACAAGCCCATACCCTTTGCAAAAGTTCCTGCAGCACCAAGAGCCACACCTGACCCGACGATTCCAAGGCTTGCTTTGATGGCTGCCATCGAAACGTCATAAATTGTGTTATATATGTCAAAATGCTGGCCAGTCGACGCGTATTCTGCCTCTCCCGCTGGAATGCTAGCTATCCGGCCCTTCCAATCGTCTCACGTAGATGTGAACATCCTGGACTCTAACCTCTTTCTATACTCCAGATTGTGAAGAAGAAAAAAGGTCAGTCACCCATGTATGGGCCGCATGCAACACGCGGCTTCTTCCGATGGCAATAGTGTACACTCAAAGACAAAACTATCCACCAGTCCATTTCAACCTGCATCACTCCGTTCGGCAGAGTGCAGACATACTGATCAGGAAGCAAATCAATCACATCAGTAATCGCATGAATTCAATATTACTAAACATTCGAAACATCCTTTGCAACACGGCCGTCACTTTGACTTCGCCTCCCGCCCTCCCCCCACTTTCCCAACCCACGCCTCTCGCTTGTCAAGCCCACTGCAGCTAGGCCCCCGTCACAACGAACGCTGGGACGCCTGGACGTCTAGACGTAATTAACGGCAGCTTCTTTTTACTTTTTCTTGCTTCAGGTTTGCAAACCCGGCAAAAGAATTCCTTTCGTGGCAATCGCTGCGCAGGTTGCATCAGTCGGACTCGTACCTCTCTACAGTGCATAATCATACATGTACTCCAGCCCGTTCATTTCCGCCACTCTACCCAGAGAGTCGCATTTTGTGGGCCACGAGCTGTCACTGTGGCATCCGTCTTTTGGGGGTTCCCGATCTGGATGCAGGTGCATACATATAGACCGGCAACCGGGGATAAGAGATCTGGTATATCTATGTCCCGCGAACGGTGCAGTGACGCTTCCGGTCTGTGCAGCCCATACGCCCGCAATGGTTCGACCAACAGTTGATTTCATTCAGCGCTTGGCACTACCTCGGGCAAATCGTCGACCAGGACCACACTGGCGGGAGTGTCCGACTTCCGCCCTCTGGATCCATATCAGCCCCGCTTGCGCCGCTGCCGGCTTCCAAATCCTGACGTTTAATGAGTCTTTCCAAATTGAAAAGCTCTCAAACACGGTGCACTGACTCAAGACCCTCATGGGGAGAGAAACATGTAGATGACAGAGGCTATTCCAGTGCCTTTGCGGGTTGAGAACCTACATCCGTTTACCCAAACCACAGTGGAAATCTACTGTGTAAAAAGCAATAATGCGTCAGCAACTTCGACAAATGAAGAAAATCACGCCCGTTCATCTCCACTGTGGTCCTTGTTTTTTCACCGATCAATCGGTCGAGAAATCTCTTCGGCACGTTGAGCACATCCGTCTCGACGGGCATGTCAGAGGCCGGCGACAGATGGCATGCCCCTGTCGACTAGAAATTCTCATGCGAACCCGAGCCCTGAGCGATGTATAGCTTACATGGGATCTCCGCGTTACGGGCTAGTGTATGCAAGTGACTCCAAAGCTGGCAATTCTCTCAAGTACCGGTCATGCGGGATACTACCGTGGTGGATTATTCAATGGTCCTGTGCATTGGTTGGGCCCTTTATTTTCTTTTTTTGTAGTCTATCCACTTTTCCATAGCCCTAGTCAAGCTGTTACGACACCCCGTCCCTTACTTACTCAGAACGTCTTGGCTAGCCAAAGCCACCAGGCACATATGGGAGGCATGCCTTCACTGAAAAGAAAACGTCACTGACCTCTGCTACACCTCAAACATCTCAAACATAGCAGAGCATCTTTTCTTTCTTCCATAATGCCTGGTGGACTTCACCCTCCTCTGGAGGTCTCACAGAACTGGCCGGCCCCCAACTTTGTGAACCCAGAGCTGCGATCAGACGCTATCATCATACTGGCCTATATCCTGGGACCACTCAGTGTGTGCTTTTGTCTCGTCAGGCTATGGGTTAGGGTATACCACCAGAAGAGTGCAGGAGTGGACGATTGGCTGATGCTGGCATCTATAGTCGGTTCCATCCACCCTACGACTCTTCTATGCTGACAGTTGTAGCCACCTACAATTGCTTTGACAGCACTGTATCCCCTTGGTAAGTTGGATGTTCCCGTTAAAGAAAACCATCTAACACGTGTCAGCGACCAAGCAGGCTTTTGACAGACACATCTGGGATTTGGACATCTATTCCGACCCACGGCGCGCGGTCATTGCTAGAAAATACGTTTTGGCGACCGAGACTATCTTTTGCGTCGCTACTGGGTTGGTCAAGGTGTCTATCCTTCTATTCTATCGCAGACTGTCATCTCGTGTGGTATCACGGGGGTTTTTCTGGACAACCTGGGTTGCGATTGTATACATTGTTGCCTACAGTATCGCCCTGACGATTGCTCCTATTGTCGGCTGCCAACCGATAGAGGCGTTTTGGGAGCAGTTTGACCCCATCAAAAAGCTACAAGGGTACGAGTTCCATTGCTTTGATGAAGGTGCCGACGTCCTCGCCGCCAGCATCATCTCGGCGACGCAAGATCTTCTCACTGCTATCCTACCTACGTTTCTGTACTGGAACCTCCAGATTCCTCTACGACAGAAACTGGCATTGTTCGGCATCTTTGCCATGGGTTACGGCGTCGTTGCGCTGGGCGCGCTACGTGCGTACTACAGCTGGCACGCCTTTTATAACACATACGATATCACATGGGCCACGTACGACCTTTTCCTCACCTCTCTCCTCGAGCTACACATTGGCTCCTTATGCGCCAATGCGCCAGCCCTCAAAGTCTTCTTCAAGCATTTCTTCAAGGAGAAGCTCACGTCAAGATCACGAACCAAGACACCGGTAGACTCCAAAGACCGTGCTAGCCCAAACGGCTCATCGAGACCAAGCAAGTCTAGCTTATGGAGCAAGATAAGCTCGGTACTTGAGACCGGAAACGAAAGCGGGATGCGTAGTACAAGAGGATACCTTGACTCTCATGCCGGTATGACGGTAGACTCTCACGGCGGTGTACTTGTCCAAAAAGACATGCAGGTTCATCACTCACCAGCAAGTAGCGTACCTGAAAGTCCTGCTGAAAGACCTGTTTTATCGACGACCGATGACAACATTGTCGACCACTACTACGACGACATTGAACTTGGTCTCTACACCACACGCAATTCCGGTACATCAAGTGTATACTCGCCTAGGAGCTTTGACAATGACGCTCTCACTGCTATTCCACCGCTCCCTACATCACCAGCATTTGCTGCTCATGAGCCTTTGACAGCACAACCCGTTTCTCCCACCGTCGCGGAACCTCCTAAGAGTCCGGTACTTCCCGTACCGGCAGTAGAAAAAGCGACATTTCAGCGGGCTCCCACACCACTCCCATCACGAACCCTAAGCCATCATCGACCAAGCTGGCAGACTTGGTAATGACGACGCATGCAGCGCATGCCCCATTCTACGAATATGTATCATGTCACTAGCGCACTGTTATCCTCCTTCCTGTTCAAAACCTCATCTCTCACCGGGAGTTTTATGTCTACGAAACGCCGTCCATTGGGACTGGCCACCAGCACCGGTTGTTGTCGCAATGTGTTTTCTCGGTTGTATCAATCTAGGCTGGCTCTTTGGTTTTTCTCTCCCCATGGGGTGCCGCAGGTGGGCATTTGTTCCGTTTGGTTTTTTTTTCCTTTATCATTTTTTCCCGTTCTATACCAAATGTCCTGTCTCGCTCCTTTGCTCAAAAGCATTTGTTTGTTATGTAGCAATAATGAAAGTCATGTTATATCATTGAAGGGTCTTGTGTTATGATGCAGAATAACGCCGCTCTCTTCACCGTGAACTCTCTGGCCAAACGCAAAACAAGTGAGAGGGAACGCTTCTGACCATTTCAAAACAGGAAGGTGCGTATCTTGACAAGCCACGCCCTTTCAAAAGTCAAGTAACGACAATTTTTCCATCAAGAAGAGAAAGAGAAAAAAAAAACTCTTCGATGACTCATAGTAGTACAAACCCCCGAACACATGCCTCTAACCCAAACCCTCCCTTCCATCCTTCCCCAATCTAAACCGTCACCGCATCACCAACCATGCCCTCAACCACCCCATCCCTCTCCCAACCAACCCTCTACACCTCCTCCCTCATAAAATCCACCCCCACCCTCTCCGCCGCCCTAACTTCCCTCATAAACTCGGCCTTTTACCGTTCAGCATCCTCAGACCCGCGCTGGGACGCTACAGTCCCGCGCTTCGACTCTGCAGACGAGCTATGTGAGATGATAGGAGATGAGCGGAGTGTGGTCGCTGTTATATACTATTCTTCTGGTCGCTCGACTAGTACGCTTGATGATTTTGAAGGGAAAGAGGAGCAAGGGGAAATGGTAGCTTGTGCGGCGGCTATACCCTGGAAGGGTGGTTGGCACCGCGAAGGGGCTACTACTAGGGAAGGTGGTTGGGAGATTAAAACGGTGTGTGTGCATGAGAGGTTTGTTGGGCGCGGGCTTGCGAGTCAGTTGGTGGGGTTTCTGGGCGACTACTATCTGTGTACTACGCGTGCTTCTGGTACGGTGGAAGAAAGGGAGCAAAGAAAGGTGACGCTCTGGCTCCTCGTCGCCGACAATCTCAACGGCGCGTACTGGCGGCGCCGCGGCTGGAGCGAAGTCAGGCGCAGGACCGAAGGACCGGGGGTGTGGGGGTGTAAGGGGGAGTTTGACATGGTTGTTTTGAAGAGGGAGTTATGTGGCCCAGCAGTATAGAATGTTTTTTTTTGGTAGGTCATGGTTACTCGAGAATAGAAGTGTAGTAGTAGTATCTGACTCGCGACTACTACAGGTAATATGGAGAGAATACGCAAACTACAAGTTCCCCGTGCCTAGTAGATCTTCTCCCATCGCGCCATCCCGTCTCCCCCAAACCCCTTGATCACGCAAATAAGCAAAAGCCAACCACCAAGTCTCGCCCTTCCCCAGGGCTCTCTCTCTCTCTCTGCCGCCATGACCCACACGTTTCCAACCCGCCACGTTCCACATCGCCACGTGATATCGGCCGATCAATCGCGATCGTATTTCTTACTTTTACATTATGTGCAGATTGTGGCGGCTGTAGTTTGTATCAGCCTCTTCTGGGCCGAGACGGCTGCCGGGGAGGATTCGTGGGAAGATCAGTGGCGCGGGGGATCTGAGGGGAAAGAAGGAAAAAGGAAAAAGGAGGTGGACGGGTGGGGGGGAAGGAAGAAGGAAAAAAGAAGCGGGAGAGAAAAAAAAGATAGAAAAGGAAAATAGAAAAGAGATGAACCGAGGTAAAGATTATCAAAATCTCCAGATAGACTAGATAAGAAAAGAAAACACCCAGTGAATCGGAAAAAATACTACTTTCAAGATTGATTCTATGACGATGATAGGTAACACGCCACACTCACAACGCCTTCCCCTCAGGCGTACACCCCCAATCCCTCTCAAACGCATGCCACCCGCCTACGGGCTCCTCACACATCTTAAGATCACTAATCACAAAATCATAATACCCCTCAGCAGGCAACTTGCCCTGGTTAACCGTACCTCCCATAGCAATATTAATCAAAATCCTAAAATCCTCCATACGCCGCGTTCCCTCGGGTATACTCCCCTTCATGACCGGTCTGCCATCAATATACCAAATCATACGGCCTCTCCAACCAGGAATGCCTTCCTCTTCGATCCACGCGAAGCCGTAGGTATGCGGCTGGCGGGCGAGATCGGGTAGCGAGGTCTTGACGACACGGTGTTTCTGGGCGTCTTCGCCCGTGTAGGAGCCCCAGTGGAGACAGGAGTGGTTTTCTGTTTCGGCGTTCCAGCTCTCGGCGATGTCGATTTCGCCGTCCGTGGGCCATTTGAAGGGGTCGGCAGGGAGCATCCAGTAGGCGGGCCAGATGCCGGGGGCGGAGGGGGGAAGACAGGTTGCGGAGAGGTAGCCGCGCGGTCGGGAGAGGGTTTGGTGAGAGGTTAGGCGGGCAGAGGTCCATTTGTCGGGGCCGACCAGGGCGCGCACGATTAAGCGGTTGTCGTGGTGGAAAGAGTTTTCGGGACTGTCGGTATACATTTGCTTCTCATTGTTACCCCAGCCGTGGTCTCCGATCTCGTGGCGGAAGTTTTGTGACACGGGGGTGGACTTGTCGAAGGATGGCCTCCAGTATACTTTCTCGGTGTATGGTGGATGAATATTCTGTGGCGGCGGCGGTTGCGCAGATGGAGGGCGGTTCTGAGGTATAGGTGGAGGACTGCCAGGCTGTGGTGTGTGCGGCTTACTTCCCTGTGGGATAGGTGGTGGTGCAAAGGGTTGTTGCTGCGGAGGCGGCGAACCCCATTGCTGTTGTTGAGGGGCATTCCATTGCTGTTGCTGCGGAGGCGCACCCCATTGTTGGTTTTGCGGCGGATACTGTGGAGGGTACTGAGCGCCAGAGTACTGGCCCGGGTTTGGCGGCGGATAGCCCTGTTGAGCTTGAGGGTAGCCTTGAGGCGGTGGATAACCTTGCTGATGTTGTTGGCCTGGATAGCCCTGGCCAGGATAGCCTTGCTGGTGATGGCCGCCCGACGATGGACCCGTAAACTCGGAGAGCTTTGCCTTGCCCTTGGCTAGGAGTTTGTCAAATGCGCCCGACATTTTCAATTCGATGTGGTACGTTGGAGGATGGTAAGCTGTACAACAACTTTCTGCCGGAAGCCGAGCCGCTATGACGCAAGCACGTCACCCCACGTTGCCCCACCAGCCGACGTACCCGCACACGATAGTAACCTACATGTTATACACGTATCTTGGGTTGCCCTGCCCCAATTCGAGACCAGTGATACAAGGAGCCAGATAATGTTACGTCTTCATGCGTCGACCACCCGTCTTCTGTTCAATGACCAGCAAGACTCATTCTTAGTTCAGTCTTTACGTTGCTCCATGACTACTAGCGCAAAGGTATACCGTTCATATTTAAATGTCATCAGCAAGATCCATGCTGTGCGACCTCTGCTGCAGAAATCTGATCCCAAGATACAAAGCAAAGATTCCAATGAGGACAATAGTGATAACAAGAACTAAATCGTCTATTCGTCTATTCAAAACAACATGAAAATAAAATCGTCTCGCCAAGTCTCCCTCGCCAAACGACGAAGAAGGGCAAAGCACCCAAGTAGAATATATATACAACTACAAAATACTATTATCAGCACAAGTAAACGCCCCGTTGACCTTTGTCGTCGCAAACGTATTCATCAACGCATCAATACTAGCATACATGCCGGGTCCTACCATAAACAGCGTCACGCACATGATGAAGATGTTGAAAACGGCAGTTGCAATCTTCTTGCTGCTGGAGCGCCACTTGCCGTTCTTGTTGAGGTCGAACCAGAAGAGGACGGTGACACCCCAGGTAAACCAAGAGAGAAGCAAAGCGGCGGAGATATTGAGGAGGGAGCTGAAGACTGGGATCGCATTGGCGAGGATCCAGACGGTGATCCAGAAGAGGGATACGGAGAACACCCAGATGAACCAATCAGTCTTCTTGCCGACGTCTGTGATGGCAACAGGATTGCGGCGGCGGTTGGAGGTGTTGTCGTTGGAGGTGATATCGACAATGGTGCCTGTTTTGTTTTGCTTGGATTGGCGGGTGCTGACTTGGCGGACAAAGTAAATGTGGAGGTAGCGTGCTGCTGTCATACCTGAGGATATATGTCAGTAGGAAACATAATGTGGTTTCCGAGATGTTTCTTACCAAAAATAAGACCAGTGCCCAAGAGCCCCACGAAGATAACTCCGTACGAGGCTTTAGCCATGACGGGACGAAGCGAGCCGAGTGCGGGCGATGCGACTTGCTCTCCAGATAATGCGTACACAACTGCAGCAACAATGACGTAAATGGTAGTTGTCGCACACTTCTCGATAATGATAGCCTTGGGGTAATCGCGGGAGGGGTTCTCCATCTCCGCCAAGACTGTCGGAAATGCCTGGTTACCGCTAAAAGCAAATGCAATGTTGAGGAATGCAGAAACAGCTTGTGTAAAAGTCGGGCTACCGATGGCCTTGAGATTGAGCGCCGCTTCCGGGTTCCGTGGGCCTTGGACACCCAGAATGACCATGACCATGAGGACGGCGGCGAAGATAGAGAATGTGCAAGGCCACGAGGCCCATGATACAAAGCGCATGCTTCGAGGTACACACATGGCCCACATGACGACAGCCGCGACAACTGTGAAGGCAACCGTGCAAGTTGCGTGCTCGCTAATCGTGTTGAGACCGATGGAGATGGTGACGACAGCCGACGCGCTGATGAGCGCCATGTTGATGAGAAAGCCAATGGCAAACACAGCTTCGACCCAGGGCCCACCAAGGACGCGCCCATAGTCAACAATGTTCAGCATGTAAGGATATTTTCGCCAGTATTGAATCAGGTTGTAAGCAGTATACAGACTGAGCATACCCATACCAATAATGGCCACGATACCTGGGAAGAAACCAAGCGTGTTGAGTGCACTGGGTAATGACAGAATGCCAATTCCAATTTCGTTTGTCATGAAGATGATGACGGTTTGGGTCGTGTTCAGCTTCTTGGCTGGAGTATTGTTGGGAGAGATGCTGGCATTTCGGATATCTGCGACGTCGCCTAGGTTTGTGTCGTTTTGAGATGATGCGGAATCGAACTTTTCAGAGTCTGCTATGGTCTTATGTCGCAAAGGGTCTTCCGGATCGTGGGTCGGGTCTGCTGCAAGGGTGACTGTGGGTCGCTGGGCGGATATCGGGGGAGCATCAGTAGCTTTGGGCTTGTCGTCGACATCATGTGTTTGTTGCTTAGGAAGGTTGCCATGGGCAGACGCAAGAGGTTTCCCGTCCATGATTCAAGATGCAATCAAGCACTTACGCCTGCGTATACAGAGTTGGAGGAATGGGTCTAGTGAAAAGAAGTATGAAGGAATTGGCAAAGATTGAGGTTGAATTGATGACGCTGGAAAGATGTGAAGATGCGAAGAAGTTATGAATACAAGTAAAGAGCGAGATTAAAGGGTACGGCACAGTGTGGAGAGGCCCAAAGACTTGGTGAATTACGTACTACCAAGGACGGTAGCTTGTCGTAGCGCGTCGCGGAAAGGTTGCATCCCCAATCGGGACTGTGCGCCAATGGCCAGATAGTGAAAATAACAGGGTCTTTCTCACGCGTGGAGACTGGTGGTCCGTATATCCACTTAGGGCATGTGGGTCTCCCCAGAAGCCGTGCAAACGAAGCTTTTAGTAAGAGAATAGGTGCTTAGCATCGTGATTCGCAAGGTCAAATCGACCCGCACCTATTCGAAACACAGCACAACAATCCCATGCAGTCGACCCCATGGTCAAGAGGCGTGGTGATGCGGAGAAAGGGTCCCAGTGACGTCTGACGTTGATCTTCTTCGGGAGTGACCGCACTAGCGAGAGCCGCACACCATGATGCGCGCCGAAGCAGGCCGGCCTTGGTTCCCGAGGTTGGCCGTCGTCATGGTTTGGCTGGGCAAGAGCAGTACGCTGGTTGGTCGCCTTACGGGTTCAGTCTCATGCCAGAACGACATGCAAGACTCGAGACCGCGTACGAGAGGAGATGGCTTCGGGAATGCCAGGGGCACCAACAACTTCCGGTGCGCTATTTTCTTCCAGAATATGAAGCGAAGATGGGTCTGACAAGGACATATCCGATACTTGGGTGTTGCATTGGCCTTGAAGGCAAATTTTTACGCGATCAAACATTGGCGCAGGACAAAGGTGCATGTTTACCCAGTCAGAAGTGAGGCGTCTGAGTGCCAAGGACTTGTTAGTGAGGACTGGAAAGAGACAAACAGCGACCGCTGGCCTTAGGGTGGCCTCGCACCCGGTAACAGCCAACGTAGTGGGTGCCAAACGTGGTACTTTTGCGGGCACGCCGAGATTCTTTCCAGAGCTTGTTAACGGTGCTAGGCGAGGCAACGGCGCTGTATCAACAGGCATTGGTTTCTCCGTTTGGGATACCCCTCAAAATACCCGGATCTTGATGGAGAAGCCCAGCAGCAGTCGCGTGAGGGAGATATGGATCCACATTCGGAACAAAAGAATAGAGAGCTCTGGGTCCAAAAAAGCAACCCCTTATCGCTCTGGGGCAGGCACATTCAGGGACGTGTAGTACACGCTGTCTGCATCGTTAGCAAAGCGCGCGAATGAGCGTCCTAGGTACCAGTGTTGAGGTATCGCATAGGACGTATGTAGCATTTCTGTGGCGGGGTGGCATCCTGTCTCACAACTCCAATGGCTCTCGAGTGGCAACCGCAGGACATCAACCGAGATGAAAGGCCCTTTTTCCAAAACTAGAACCTATCAAGAGAGACGATCGCTGAAGAAGATGTATGCTGGATATCGAGATAGGAGCTGGCTAGCTGGGGGGGGGGGGGGGAGGAGTGTGGATGACAATTTCCTTGATAGCAATGGATGTGCAAGACGACAGAGGAGAGAAGGTTACGCGTTCACGTGAGTCAAGCGCCAAGACCCAGACTGCCGATTTCCCGACATCGCATGGGCGAAGCGCGCAGTCAAAGCCACACAAAGCCGGGCGCCATGGACAGATTGTACACAGTAAGCAGCGCCTATGCACGAGAGGGGCCGAATTGCCAGTTAAAGGCCTGCGTGTACCGGATTTGCTGAGCAGAGCAATGCGATTGTAGGCGCAGGCGTGGCTAGGGCCTCCTGGCTTGCGTCACTCCTCTCGCACCCGTTGTTCCGGATGGGAGACGCCAAGCCGCGCGGGCCCCCAATCGTCGTCATCGCCATCTCCCACTGGTAGACGGCAGACAGCAGACAACAGGCAGGAGGCAAGGCAGGCTGTCAAGGAGCAGCAAAGCTCGGCTACTCTCTGCTTGGCATATCAAAGCCCTCCCCCAGACTGACCACACGCGAAAAGACGAAACAGAGGCGAGCTGGAACCCGTCTCCACCTTCTCTTTCCTCCCTCCCGTCACCCGCTGCCGTTGTCCGCTCCGTCTTTTTTCCCATCGTTTGGATCGAGCGCGTATTGTTGATCGACTCAGCCTGTGGCCCCCATTTCTTTTTTTTGCGCTCTGTCCGTCGTCAATATCGTCTTACCATCCGCCATTTGCGCTATTGCTCCCCAGTCGCTCTTTACTCCTCTCCACATACACCCACAATGATACCCAGGACTGCCCTATCGGCGCTTCTCTACGCAAGCACCGCCTTCGCTGTGTGCACCAAGCTCGAAGACTGCCCCCAGTTTGAGTCTCTCAAGACGGACGAATGCCAGACCTTCCACCACTTCCTCGCACGCGGCTCTACCTCTCCTTACCCGGGCCACGTCATCGAGACGGTCGGCAAGGTCTGCAATGCTCTCAACACCAAGGAGAACCCAAAGGCCTGCGGCTATGAAGATGTCCAGTACTGGGCCATGAACGGTGGAGAGAAGTGGTGCATATCGTCGCACGAGGGTGCCATGAACGGCGCCGAGCAGATGAGAAACTACACCCAGAGGTGTCCAGACAGCCACCTGATTGTCATGGGTTTTAGTCAGGGGGGTAGTGTCATGCTCGATGTCCTTGGTGGCGGTGGTGGTCCTCTCTGGGGGTGCGAACAAAAGTCGAATCCGAGCATGAACATCACCAGTCCTCCGGGCTCAAAGAGTATGTATCGCCTGTACGATCTGCGTCTGCTCCATATGCTAATTCCTTTCCAGTCGCAGCTGCACTCGTCTTTGGCCCCACACGGCGCTCCGCGAACCAGTCTTACACCCACGGCGGCGGCGAAATCTCAGATGGCAGTGCTCCTCGATCAGCGGAAGAGCTTGCAGGCCTCCAGCCCTATGCCGATGCCGGTATCCTTCGCGAATACTGCCAGCCAGGCGATCCCATCTGCGCTCCTCACACCGATAATAAGGACATGTCCAAGCACTTGAGCTATTTCGAACTCTATAGCGACGAGGCAGCCGAATGGGTCATTGATCTCGCTAGGAAGGCCGAGTCTGGCGACAGGACATCGGATGCGAAGAGCATGCTGCACCAGACCATTTCGCATCCCATTGCGAATGTCTTCATCGTTATCTTCGTGCTGTTCCTCGTATAGTAAGTCAATCTCTCACTCAGTCACGATTATACCATAGATGCGCAATAGACATTTGGGACCATTGAAGACTTGATTTTTCGCCGATACATGCATGAATACTCATACTGCACAGTTTTGCCGTCAGGAAATTCGCTGTCTGGAAGACAACTCGCTCTCCTATATATTCACGTGTCGACACTACCGAATCTGTCTAAGCAAATACGAGCCGCATACCCGAGTCTTTGCGACAAGCATTATGCATACTTGGCAATTTAGATTGTGGCGCCCTGCACTGCCCACCTTGCCGGGATAGGTGGGCGAAGCGCCAGCTGCACCATGGATCAAGGAAAAAATAGATTCACAGCAAGGTAATTGGAAGAAGAAGGAAAGAATAATCAAGGGAGAAAGTTGGGGGGGCACACGCAAAAGCTTCATATTTTGTTGTAATTTGCTCAGCGCCTAGATACCCTTCACTGTAGCATACTGTATTCTCTTAGCATACTTTATAACCAGCCGACTGGATTCGGCCAACCAAGATATTGAATTTTGTCATGGGATTGTGTTCTGTCAGTTGGAAGCAATATGTGGAAGCATGCATTGCAATATCTATCAAATGTTGGGTTCAGTATCTCCAGCCCACTTCGCACTACGACCTGATGTGGTGATAGCGCCTTGGCATAAATGCTCACTACTCATACGCTCTGCATACTGTGTGCTGATAGGTCAATGCAATGTGACTGCGCCCGTATAGTTCTTTGCTTCTTTTTGGATGATATTGAGATGATCATGCAGAGAGGAGGGATGTGGAAGGAAAGGAAAGGAGAGGATAAGAGGGGCATGGGTACATGAATAAGGCCAAAAGTTTGTCATGACTTGCTTCTGGTACGACCAAGTATCTGGTATCACGTTTGTTGTGCTGCATGATTTACTTTTAACTCTATATCGCTTTACTCCGCGATCACTATGGTTCGATCACCCCGCTTCTTGTCACACTAATTTACCCTCGCAAAGCCCGTCGTGGGGAAAAGCAAGAATCTGGAGGCGATTCTTGAAAGTTTGTCTCTAAGTTTGTTCAGAGCAACAAAGCATTGGGGTACGGGGAAGATCAGCTCATGCACGAAACAGGCTTTCAATGTTTATCTCGCGTTGAGGTGTGGAAGCGATAGATTGGGATTGGCTGGGATTCTGGGGATATACGAGTGAGCCGTTCCAACTGACATGAACTGGTTGCAGGTCGCGAGACTAACAGTGCCGAAGCGAGGCTTTGTCTCCCGCTAGCAGAAGCTTACAGTTCCCTCAGTTATCGCCGCTTATCGCCCATGGCCAATATGCTCTGGATCTAAAGAGACCCATGGTTTCAACAGCCACACGATACTAGTCGTAGTAGTAGGGGGTTAGGCACTAGCATCGGGATTTCCCACGTGCTGACCATGGGGGAAGACAATTGTCATCCTCTGGTCCCGTATGAAGAGTACGATCATCGTGTTCAATTTACAAATCGCCGGATCTAAACGGCGTCAACACGAGATGCAAGAGCACAAAGACACGGATTGGGAGTGCATGCATGGGCATCAACCTCGAGAATGACGTAAATTGGGGTCCAAAAGGTCAGTAAAGGCACAGTCGATTGTCGAAAGCGTACAGGCAATCTCAGTATACGAGTCATGGGTGAGTGAATAGGCATGGTTCGGTACTAGCAGAGAGGGGGGGAAAGCCTTTGCGTTGACGATGGAGCGACAACTTTATGCATAGTTTGCAAAGAGTGGCGCGGAGAAGGAGTCGGTCGGAAATTTCTTTAGCCCGCATGCATGCACCCTGGCAAGGGCGCTAGCTGAATGCTCCGCTCGCTGCTAGTAAGCCCAATGGCGCTGGAATGGACTCGTGGAGGCCCTTCTCCTGAGCAGCAGCAGTTTGCATGCAGCAACCATGTATACAAGACATGGTGTTGTATGCCTTGTTGCCTCAGTGCATATATGGGTTTGAAGAATGCAACATAACTGACACGACGTCTTCGTGCACGCAAAGTATCACGTCACATGTCGATAAGATAAAGCATCACGGGTGGAGATGATAGTATGGTTGATCAGGGGTAAAGCACGGACGCTGCCCCAGTCACCCTTGCATAATAGCATGCACATCTACAACTTCATTTGCCCATTCCGTTTCATAAACAATTCAAATGGCTTAGTCCGCGATCCTCTAGGTGCAAGAGGCGTGCACATAATAGCTAGCAAGGGCCCCGGATTCCATAGCCGCGGTTTTTCTAGCTTTCACTCAAGTCGCCCGCCCACCTCCTACTATTCAATCATCCCTACGCTTCCACGCGTCGGAGGGAGAGCAGTCATGGCCTTTGTCGCTGCCTTGTCCGATTTCTTTAGTTGCGGTAGGACGAGAAAGGCGCGCGAGCCTCCATTGGACCCCAACGACACAGCCTCGGAGCCTGTCACGCATGAAACTGCTACACCTACACTTGCGCTCCCACCCATTGACGAAAAAACAACTTTGGATGTCCATGTCCGCGAACCAGCCGACAAAGCAGGAGAGGCTGGTCGCATTCCCAGCATCCAACAGCCAGATGTCCGACCAACGTCTAACAGCCGGCACCGCAACTCGGCAGATGATAACATGGACATGTTTGTAGTGCAAGAGAAGGCCAAACCAAGCGCTGGATGGGTTGTTGAGCAACAAATCCTCGTCACCGCCATGCCCGCTGCTGTCACGGAAGAAGCAGAGAAGACTGCGTCCGTGCCTGAACCGGAACCAGAGTTTGAGACCACTACCATCACCCCACCTGTTCGCTGTGCGACTCCTGAGCAGGAGCCTTGGAACTCTACACCAGTCGCTCGCTCAGCAACACCTGAGCTTGCGCCTGAACCTGTGCCTGAGCCAGAGGTCTCCATCGTGACCCCCACCGTCCGACCAGTAACACCTGAGCCGGAAACCACGGATATTGTGTCCGTCCGTAGTGCGACGCCCGAGATCGAGGCCGTCGCTCCCCAACTCGCCATTCCTGAACCGGAGGAATTCTCACTCCCGGCATTTGAGGAACTGGTGCCATCTATCCCGGAACCCGAAATTATGGTCCGGCAACTCCCGGCCGCTAGCAAGAGGACTACGCCCGTGACCTTCCTCAACATGCCTCCAGGTACGTTCATCTCTTGATTATATCATGGAGGAAAATGCTAATAGTACGCAGAGGTACGAAACAAGATCTACGAGCAGATGAACGAGGATGGTCCTATCAGGATGTGCCGTTCTGACGACCCTGCCTTGGCGCTTCGTGATGGTGAATCTGCGCGTGCGCAGCGCCGTCAATTCTACAACCTTACCCAAGTGTGCCGGGAGATCCGTAATGAGTTCTTGCCTGTATACGCGCGCAAGACCGAGTACATCATCGACCTGTGGGGCCAGAGGGCCAACCTTTCCAAGGTAGAGACCCTCAATGCCAAGGTTTCCATGGACATTGATGCTGCCTGCTTCGACATGGAGCCCATTGACCTCCTCCCCCTTCTCCGATGCCTTGTCCGCGCTGGCCGAACCGACTGCCGCTTCACCTCAACCGAGGGCGTCGTATTCAGGAGCATCTCAGAAATCGTCGACGAGCTCAACAAGCTCCTCCCCGCCGCCAACGGCAGCAACAAGAACTGGCTCGAGGCTATCAGCGGGCCCATGAAGAGGATCGATCTTCACCTCTTCCCCCACGACGACATCCGACAGTACTACCGATTCCGCGGTGCTGAGCCCCTCGTCCGCGTAGTATACCCATCTGCCAAGAGCGAGGAGTGGATGAAGCGGGCTTCCAAGTCGCAAGAGTACGAGGCCTACCTGAGGAAGACTGGCCTCGACAAGTTCGAGATGCACGTTGTCATTGGTCATGCTTCTCGACGCACCACCAACGAAGGCCGTCTGCCTCTTGACTGGCGCATGAGCTACCAGCTCCGTCAATCCACGGACCGCGCTCCCCGACTCTCCATGGAGATTGCAGCAGCTCGCATGTCGATTGACCGATCGCCTCGCCGGTAATAAAAAAATATATTTGATATGAAAAGTTTTAGCGTAAGCGGACGGGAGCGTGGTTGATTATTTTTCTGGCGTTTTTTTTTAATCTCTCTTTCATGATTAAGATTTGATGTATGAGTTCAGGCAAACTACGGTTTTTCCGCCGAACAGGATACGAGGGAGGTTTCTCAGGTTTGCGCATAACATACCCCAATTTTTAGCTTGTAATGTTTTTCCGTTAGGGAAGGAGGAAGAAGAAGAAGGGGGAGGATACGTTGCTCGTTTGCGACACGTCATGCAGAAGAAGGAATTTCCTCGGATGAGATGAGCTGATGGCTTTTCGTTGGAAATTTTGCTACAAGGACCAATGTCCTGTTCGCATCTCTCCATCCCCCTTTTTAATGTTCATTTCTTTTTAACGCCCTAAAGAACATATCCTTTTTGCATACCCGTCTTCTTTGTGAATCTTTCTCTTCCTTGGCTTTTTGTGACTGTGGGTTGTGCGTATGTTCAAGTGCACGGCTTACAGGCACGCATACCTGTAATATGCTTTGAGTTCACTAGTAATGCTGTGGTTTTAGGAAGCCACTACGATTACTATGGAAAGTTTTAAGAATGAAAATGTCATTTCAAATTTCAATCTCAGAGGGACATCCCGAACAATGCCAATTCCCCCTTCCCCAGTTTCCCCATCTCCACACACACACACACACACACACATCACCCAAGAACTCGCAGCGGACAAGATCTACTCCGAAAAGCACACCCCCCCCCCTCCACTCCCGCCCCCATGCAAAGCACGCCACGTGCACCTTGGCAAAACCACACTTTATTCCCGCATTCCTTACTTTTCCTTATCAAAAAAACGCTTTACCAGCAAATTAATCTAAATTTGTTCAAAACTAGCCGTTTTTATGTTTGAAAGTGCGCGAGAACCTTGCGTACCTGCCCGTTTAGTCCTTTTGGTCCGGCATTCGTGCCTAGTAACCTTGTCGCTTTGCACCACATGGGCACATGACAAAAGTTCGCCTGGGCACATACTACACACACATGCAACATGGTAAACAGGAATTATTTGAATCCTGGAGGGAATTCTTTATGGTCTTGGCTGCGGCGCCGAAACAATGATATGGTCAACCCCACCAATCACAGCGCGGTGTGATCATGTTTGTTTAACCTTGTTATGGCATTTCTTCCGCCCATGCCCCCCTCCCCCCTCATAATCGAACTTTTTTGACATGTGGGCGTTTTTTTTTTGTGCAATAGAACGTGCATGTGTAGGGCTGCCATTGTCTCGGGGGTATGTACTAGCTAAAAGTCACCACCCCTTCCCCTCCAATCTTTTTTTCGGGGCCTTGTTATGAGGACTTGGCATGGGCTAAGAGATGGTTGGCGGGTAATGAAGGGGCTCTTGGTGTGGATATAGTAGTGTGGGAAGAGAGGTAGTACAAAAGTGTCGTCTTGCCCCGTGAAAAGGTAGCTATGTGCTGCTCGCTCGACTTTTCTTTTCTAAGGGCTACTGGATTGGCGATTTTTTTGGCTTGAGTATCTCAAGGCCTCGTTATTCGCTCGCTCTCGCTCTCTGTTGGCTGCAGCCCAATCGAGATGCGTTGTCTCGCCGCCCTCACAACGTTGCTTCTCGCCCCAACTGCTGTATTCGCAGCTTGGGGCTGGACAGATGATGGGAAGAACTATGTTATCGATACTAATGCCAACTTGGTTGTCAAAGTCAGCAAATCCAACGCTGATATGACTTCGATCAAGTACCGCGGCGTCGAGTACAATGGTCAGAATGGCAAGAACTCGCACGTGGAGTCTGGGCTTGCGCCCGGCACTGTCACCATCAAGCAATACACCTCCCCGGCCAACATCATCAAAGTTACCATGAAAGTTGGGACTCTCACTCATACGCTCGTCTTCCGCTATGGCAACCCGAATGTGTACATTTTTATGAACAAGAGGGATACGAGCATCACTGTGTCACGTTACATTGTCCGCATCCCTGCAAACATCTTCACGAACAATGTCAACGAGGATACCGACTGGATTCCCAACGGTGCACCGGCTATCGAATCTGGTGATATCAACGGCGTCAACGGTCAAACATGGTCGAAGCACTATTCTGGAAAAAAGTATGGTCGCACTATAGACTACGACTATGTCGGTTACACCAACAATAATGTTGGCATGTACCTGATCCGCTCAAACCACGAGAAAGCGTCTGGAGGTCCTTTCTTCAGAAGTTTGATCCGTCGCGGCGGCGATGGCGGACCGGATCTCTACGACATTTACCAATACAACATGGGTACGTTGAATTTCACACTTGACTCATCCAGACTTTCACTGATCCATCACAGGCCACACCGACCCCATGCGACTCGGCCTGCAAGGCCCATCAGTTCTCCACTTCACCGACAGCGGCGCAGCACCCAACCACAACCTCTTTGCCCGCAACGCCAACTGGGACTGGTTCGACTCCCTTGAAATCGAAGACTGGGTCCCTGCCAGCCGCCGCGGCGCCGTTGCCGGCGTTGGCCTCGCCAACATGAAGAGCGGCTTCCAGTACGTCGTTGGCTTGAAAAATGACCAAGCCCAATACTGGACCATTGCAACCGGCGCATGGCGCATCAGCAACGCCTTGCCTGGCACTTACACCTTGACCGTCTACAAAGGCGTAAGTAGCCCATCCCCCTCTTCCCCTTTTTCCCCCCGAAAAAAAATTCTAACACAATTTTTTGCGTAGGAACTCGAAGTCCACACCAGCACCGTAACCATCTCCCCAGGCTCCACCGCAACCCGCAACACAATCACCCTCGTCGACCCCAACGACACCCCCGCCATCTGGCGCATCGGCGACTGGGACGGCACCCCCCGGGGCCTCCTCAACTTCCAAGACACCCCCATGAAACCCACCTACATGCACCCCTCCGACTCCCGTCTCGCAAAATGGGACGCAGGCAACTTCATCATCGGCACAACCCCCATCTCCGGTTTCCCAGCCTACATCTGGAAAGACATTAACAACGACCATCTCGTTTATTTCCGCCTTACCGATGCCCAGCTTGCACGCGGAGCCAAGATCCGTATCGGAGTTACGCAGGGCCAGGCGGGCGGGAGACCGACTGTTGCCGTGAATGCGTGGGTGGCTAAATTACCGGCTGATAAGGGTCAGGGTGATACGAGGAGTCTGACGGTGGGCACGTATAGAGGGAATAATTATGTCTATGAATTTGAGGTCCCGGCTAGTGCGTGGGTGGCGAGTGCGAGGGAGTATCAGATTCTCAAGATTACGGTTATATCGGGGAAGACGGCTGCGGGGTATTTGAGTCCGGCGGTGAGTTTTGATGCTGTTGAGTTGATTGGGTTGTAAAGGTGGGTGGGAAGAAGGGGGTTGTTTTTCATTTCGCCTGTATATAGTTGAGGTGCTGTGTGTATATAAAGTTGGGAGGGGAGGTGTACGGGTAAGAGAACAGGAATGGTCGTATGAATGTCTACCAACCTTTTTTTTTCGATCAATGTACGAAGTAGACTAGCCCATCTGGTAATTCAAAGCTATCTATCTAGCTAGAGAAAAGCCATTGCAAAGAAGCTTCAGACTACCGAAAAAGCGCACGTGGGAATACGAAAAGTACGAAGCTCTAAATTACTACAAAGAAAAAACCGCTAAACTACATCATGCTGTTCTCATGTGATAATACTGAGCAAATTATCCCAACGCCCACATCATCATTTTTGTTTGCCTCAAAACACCATTAAACCCGCTTTCAATGCAACCCTCACACTCATATCCTCTGTATCTCCTGTGACCAACTCTGCACCGTCTGTCCCTCAGGAAACATACCATGAACAACCTTACCAGTCTTTGTATCGTAATGCGCGCCTGGGGGTAGTTGCATGGACATGACACTGGGGCTTGGACCAGCATTGCCATTCTGTCTGGGATCCAAAAACTGTCCACCTCCTTCATTCATTTCCGGGCGCTGAGGCTGAGAATTCGACCTCATGCGGAGATTGGATTGGTCGTAGGGACTGGGAATACGGGTGTCGGGCTGGAAGGTTGCTGCGCGGTGGGGTTCGGAAGAAGGAGGTTGCCATTGGCTTCTTCCCGTTGTTGTGTCGACGTAATACCATCGCTGGCTTTGTGAATCGTAGTTTTGGATCCAACCGGCTGGCAACATGGATCCAGGGGGCGGGTGATGTTGGTCATGAGGAGGGGCCGGGCTTCCGGGGTATCCTCCTTGTGATGACATACGCCCGTGCTGTCGTGATTGGCTCATCTGATGATATCCATTTGCGCGAGGCGGTGATCTGTTGCCGCGCTTTTGTTGCTCGAACTTTTGAATTTGTTTCGTGATGTAGTCGTCTGCGCGTTGAAGGTAGGCGTCGAATGCCATTTTAGCGTTGGATCTGGGTGCTAGCTCGATGTGAGACTTGATTGATTGGTTTGTAGATTAAGAAAACGGCGCTGGACCCAAAGTAGTAATTCTTGTTCGCGGGAGACGTTTCACAGCCACATCTCGGTGGGAAGCCTACCGCCATATATAATGGCTTCCGGTCCTTTCCCCACGGCATGCGTCAGCCACTGTTTAGCCACATGAAGCCAACAGCACTAAACACTTGACAAAGCTTGACTAGCCGCGCCATCACTTTGCAGTAATTTTGCACGCGGCGCCACATTTTTCCCTGGATTAGTCTGGTTGGGATGGCGCATGCAAATGTCCGATTGGTGCAGAGGAGGGCTCGTACGGAAGAAACGGGATTGTGGCTCTTGTCATGTGGCTTTAAGGCCCACTAGCTTGCCGATTTCCGTGGCGCATGCGAGCAGGCGCGATACCCACTGCTAGTGTTGTTACAGACCGCTGCATGAACAACTGGGTTGAGTTAATAATCCATGTGCATACTTTGTTGTTGAATTCAAAAAAGTCGTAGTCGAGTCTTTATCGGTGTCTTGTCGGCGGTCCTTTCATAATCCCGCCTCGGTCTCTCTTTACGAATCCCCGACAGAATAAATATAGCCCAATGATAACAGAAGAAGAACGAGAAGGAAATATCACACACATGACACCCAGGCCGAAGGAATCCGGCGCCCCTCTCCAGAGCCGCATTTGTCGGTCAGCGACACGCAAACAGCTCTCCTCGTCATGCCTGTCATTAGCTGCCGGAGCACCGTTTTGTGAAATTAGGTTTCGATGCAGGGAACATACGTACAGAGAAGCACAGGCTGAGAAAGCTTAGCAGCAAACTCGGGTTGGGTGATTGTTCAATGCCATCGTTACTTGATATATGTTCGACCACACTGGCTGTCGCAAAATAGCGCTGACCCGGGTACCAGGTTATTCTCTAGCGGTGTAATCGGATTCGACGGACGGCACTGATGACGGCAGAATTAAATACCCCAGGCGCTGATGTAGTCTTTTGTAAAGTTTGAAGGTAGACAATTGAATGTTCTTTACCTCTAACCGCCCAGGGAGACTCTTTTTTTGACGTGTTCATTTTGAACGGTGTGACTGGCGTTATCATTTCGCGTCAGTCCCTTAAATTGTCGATCAAGATGTAGCTGCATATTCATCAGCCGACTCATTGCTTTTGTTCATTCGTATTCCGGAACGTTGTTGCCGTAGGTCGGCTCCCACCTTCGACATGATCTACTGTGTGTTAAACAGCGGAACCAATAAAGACGCTCTAACTCTCAACCAGGACAAAAGCAAGGCTCCTCCGCGCGAAATGATATCCTTCGTGCAGTCCTGACGTCGATGCACCTGCGTAAGCGGCAACTATGTCAAAGACTTTGGGTGACCAATCACTCTCCGGCAATGACCGCTTGTCGCGCTCTCTGCTTCGTATGTTTGCGTCTGCATGGAACGAGCGGAAGCCAGTCTCAAATCGTCAGCGTTCGTAAGCTTGAAGAAACCTTGACTTCATTAGCACTGTCGTTGCCTGCCTCACAAGTCCATTGGGTCACAAATATGACATCAACGTCACGTGAATTCACGGATGTGATTGGGTCAAACATAAGATGATGTTGTTGGGCCTCCCAAGCCCAGACAAAGCTACTTTTGATCCAATAGAAAAAGAATGGCCACTCGCATAGGCGTATCACACAAATCACTTCGATACCTTTATGAAGTCGCGACGGAGCCACTTCGGTGCACCCCTTCTAACAAAGATCATGTCGTTTTCCGTGTCGAGTCCCAATGCACTGAACCACTGGAGCGCTTCTTCTGGTACATGCGGTAGCCTGGTAACAGAAATCGCACATTGTTTGATCCAGGGAGTTGGGCATTTAGGATCCAGGACCAGGCGCATTCCGAACACACTCGGTTCTTTTAACTCGACGCTCTTGAACTCGTTGTTGACTGCGGCCCTCCACTCTGGTTCATAGCCAAGGAATAATTCGTTGAAAATGGCGCCACCTTTGCCGTTAAATTCAAAGTCTATGCCAGGCGTATTGAAGAGCCTGGCTAGAAGAGGCCGGATTTCGATGGGCGTGTCATATTTGCCACGTCGCTCCACGTCGGTGCGAATCGTAAGCCAAGCGACAATGTTTTCGCGGTGAACAACACTTGATCCAGAATCTGGATAAATAGCATCGAGGTAGTCCTGCGCATCACGGATGTGCACTGAAATGGCGCGATCCTTCAGGTACAATGGACGAAACTCCTTCCGCGTTTGGCGAGAGACCTGGGTCAAGCTGTAGTAACCACGCGCTGCCCAGAAAGCATCACTTGTGGTTGTTGTGCTGCGTCGGCTCACTTCCTTTTCGATGAGTCGGTCCTTATCATATGCGCAAATTGCATATATTCTGTCGCGCACCTCTACGCGCCTGTAAGCTGAGAACGCATCATGCCGAGGTTGTTTGCTGTACCTAGCGGAAGGTCGGAAAAGCCCGCAAACTTCTTGTGATTAACGGTAGAAGGGTTGGATGACATAGTGACACTCATTTTGCTGGAACTGTCAACTTTTGCGATGCGCAAAGATTCTCTTGGGGTTTGCGAAGATTGAGAAGTGATGCGGAAAGGGAGGCATATTGAGGAAGGTGAACAGTGGAGAGCGCTCTTCCTAACCTGATTAGGCAGGAGGCAATTGGGCGCCGTAAGAAAGATACGTAATTTTGTTGCCTCCTGAATTACATACCAATAATAGTCTCCTCCTCATACATCATGTCCGGACGAAAATAACCTGCTTATTGAGTCGGCAGGAATTGCATTTGTCGTGCGTTGTTCGCCATTATTTCTCAGACACTTACTAGGAAGTCATTGTATTGGTGGCATAACGTGCGATCAGTCATAGGCCACCCCCCTCGTATCTTATATATTGATGATTCATGTCGCCCGACGGCTGGATATCTTCTAAAGCAATCCAGCCCCAGAATCATGCAAATCAGGGAAGTGTCCCTACAAAACATTGCACCGTAGGTTGGACATGCCGCTAGTACTTGACATCTATTTAAGAAATGTCAATTGTCCAATCAACACCCAGTTTGGCTGCACGCTCCCTATTCGACACTGTTTTTATTTTATTTTCTATTGCCTGCCGTTGCTCGTAATAGACCCTAGGCGCAAGTCGATTATCTGACACAATAGCGGCTCTTCATTATGGGAAGTTCAGCTCAAAGCCTACTGCTTCCACAATGCTGGCATATTTAATATCGATGGTTTTATACCCGATGATATGGGACATGCTCACGACATTCTGAGAAGACTGCACTACGAGAACATGAACCGCCATCATGTAATGAGGAAAGTCCATTGAGCCTGGGAAGGTACTTCAGCCCAGCTATGTGAGTAAAAGTGAGAGGGGGCTCCTCCTTAGTTTGATATAGATTTTTCGCAATCAGCAGCGTCTCCAGAATCAAGGGAAGGGCCATACTGTGCTGCTTTTTGCATCTAGCTGTTGCCGTTAATCAACCCGCGACTACCTTACCCAAGAGCAAGGGACACGATGTCCCCCTTGATCACGAAGTTAACTCCTCAGTACTATCATGTTTGTTCAATCACTCAATGTTTTCTCAGCAATACCATAGCCATGGAATTTCTACCTTAACATTCGTACCATAACCGCTATCAGCTACACTCAAACGACAATCAACATGGAAGGAACACCTGCCAGGTCTTTGAATCCCCGCGGGCTGGTGGATTCGAAGAGTCCAACAAGAACATCGGTACCAAAGGAAGACGAAGTGCAGTGCGCACCATCAGAACAGTCCCCATTGTCACAGCAGCCTCCATCGCCAGGGCGGTCTCCATTACTCGAGAAGTCTCCGTCGCCGGAACAGTGTGCACAGTCAGAGCGGTCTCCATTCCCAGAGCAACCTCTGGTGCCAGAAGAGTCTCTGTCATCAAAACCATGTGCGCCACCAGGACAGTGTTCGCTGCCAGAGCATCCCCTGCTTGTAGAGCAATCTTTACCAGCAAAGCTTGCTTCATCGCCAAAGCAGTATGCGCCACTAGATCGTTCTTTGTCGTCAAATCAGCCTCCATTACCAGAATTCTCTCCGTTGCCAGAGGTCTCGCCATCACTAGAGCATTCTCTGCTACTAGAGCAACTTGCATCGCAAGAGCAGGCTTCGTTACAAGACGTGCCTCCATTGCCGGGACCTACTTCATCGCCCGAACCGTATCTACTTTCAGAGCATATTTCATCGCTGAAACAGGTCCCATCGCCCGAACAATGCGCACCGTTGGAGCCGCCTCCACCAGAGCAAACATCCTCGCCAGAGCAGACTTCTTCGCCGCCAGAACAATCTGCATCACTAGAGTGACCTCCTCCATCATTTCAATCTCCATCGCTAAACCCATCTCGTTCACCTGACCAACCGTCGTCCCTAGAGACGTCTCCATCAATCAAGATTTCCGAGCCCTCAAACCCGCCGTGGCCATCCGAGCTGCCGTCTTCAGCAGGCCTATCTCCTTCACGAGAAGACCGCTCTTCCTCACTAGGCTTCTCCCTATCACCCATAGAATACACCTTGCGCGACGAACCACTCCCCTCAATCCCTTCCCCCTGCCTCCTCCCCTCTCCCGCCATCCCCTCCTCCGAACCACTCATTCCAGAGCGCTACTCCTCCCCCGCCCCCAAAACCATCCTCGAAAAGCTACTCGAATGGCCCATCCCCGCCCCCATCCTTTCAATGCTCAACCTAGACAACAAAACCGGAGAGTTCTGCCTCACCCACACCGACCTCCTCACCTACCTCCGCAACCACCGTGAAGAAGCAAACGACGCAAATCCACCCTTCCTCAAGGACCCGGACAACATCCCCAGCATAACAATGGATCTCTCGGATTTACCGTCCATATCTGACCCGCTACCTTCTATTGATCTCCTCCCTTACCTCCTCATCTACACCCGCTGCCCAGACGTCACATTCCGCACGCGTGGTTCCCCCATCGTACACGACCGCATCTACAAGTTCTTCACCGAGCTCGTGATTCCGCGGCGCGCCTTTTGGACGCGCTGCATCGCAGAAAACCCGGGGATAAGGGAGGTCCGGATCTTTTGTGAGTGGGAGAGGACTGTGGATATTGTGTTAGATCCCGGGAGTAGGTGGGCACGGGATTGGAATTGTGTGCCGTGGATTGAGTGGGAGAAGATTAGTAAGGTGAGGGTTTTTACGCTTTGTCTTGGGTTGAATGTCAATAGGGCGTTTGGGTGGGAGGGGCATGTTGTTGTTGGGAGTGTGGAGGGGTAGCGGGTGGAGATGCCGGGGGAGCGGGTGTGGGGAGGGTGGTCGGAGTTGGGCTGGGGGAGACTGGGTATGCAGAGTTTGGGTGTCTGGTGATTGTGTTGTGGTAAGGTTTAAGAGCTGCCTCGTTGAATTGGATATTCGGATATTGTTCATACGGTATGGCAACGTGGCGAGTGGCCAATGTGAACGATGGCAGTCGATACTAGGATCTTCTTATCCAGCATCTCGACAGGCTGTTTGATTCGCAATCATCTGGCTCTTAGAGGTTGTATATCACATGAGCCTTCAAATATGACAACATCATCAAATCAAAGCCAAGACCCCTTTCGTTTAGTGAATACGGCTTGGCACCGTCTTGTTTGTCGAACCTAGGATTGGCTTTTGTGAAGTCATTCCTCTAAAACAGTACAAAATGTTCTTACATACGTTGGCTGTTCGTATCGTTCAGCATCATCTCAATGTCCCTGCACGTGTTCCCAGATTCACACACCACATATAAGATGCCTGGTAACCCACATATCCGTTACCGAACCTCACGTGCCCCGAGACCAGTGCTTGAGCCAGTTGGTACTGATCACACCAGACAACTTATTCACGCAAAATTTCCGCCCTAGTACCGTTAATGGACCCTGTCCAGTTCCCATGTTCCACGTCTACCCCTGAACCGATGCTAGTTGGCACCCAAAAGATACCAACGGATCTCTTCCTGCAGTCTGTTCGCTGTGCATCCACTTGAGAACCTCTGAGATATAGGCGAGACCCTCAACAGACAGACTCATCCTAAATGATGCGAGCCATTGCTGCGCACGATTTCGTCTGTGTAGATCATCGGCGGATATAGGCTCGGATTTATCTCCAGTGATTCGAAGACAGTACCAGACCTGAGGGACGTAACGATTGATGCTCGCACGCAGCTGAGTGGAGACTTGCGGGGCGACAACCTCAGTGTGCGGCAAAACTGGGGGCTGCCATGCCGATTGAGATGCCAATTGCGAGGAATGATTCTCTCCAACAACTTGTGCTTGGGGCTGTGTTGATTGCTGGTGCAAGGACTGTGTGCTCGTAGGACTTAATTGTTGATCGGTTTGTTCAGGTTGGTTGTGGGCAGGTATACGAGGATGCGATTGTTGGCCTTTACTTACCTCTATGATTTTGACATGATGAAGAACTCTTCCACTGAAGTTGCGGATATCCGCAAGCGCCTTGGCCTTTTTTCCCGTATCGGTAGAATTGTTCGCAATATGCCAGAGCCCAGAGAGATAACGTCTCAACTGGTTACGCATCTCGGGTTCCATGCACTGATATCGCGGATCACAGACTGTGTCATCGGGCTGAAGCAAAACCATCTGCAGTGCTTGTTCTGGAGAAAACGGAACGTAAGATTGCTCTAGGGCAGCGGAAGAGTGCTAAGTGAATGGTTATTTCTGGACGACTAGAAAGAGATAGCAAAGGCAAGCTTACTGAATGCGTCTGTGTTGAGATATGGGGCTGCTGTCGGCTTTGTTCATATATTCCCGAAAGAGTGCGGGGATGCTGCAGAAAATTTGGCGGATCGATTAATGTCCTTGTGTTGTTGCTGCTGTCGTTTCCGAGGTAGTCACCAGACTCTCCCCTATGCAATGCAGATTGATGACTAGGAAGAGTAGTCGTTGCTAAGCCCGATCTAGTTATCATTCGAAGTATCTGAGATCGCGACCGCACGTTGCGAGTATACTGGATCGGTTGCGGTATCGGAGTTGGATAGATCAAAGGATGCAAACCAGGCTCTTGAGTGACTACGAGGCGTAGATCCGGGCCAAGAAGATAGTCGCTGTAGGCTGGAAAGATGTCGTAGTCGCGCTGCCACTCCTCCCAGTTCTCATCGTGGAAAGGCATCGCTGCTGTAAGTGGCCCTCTCTCCTAGCAGATGGCGTAGGTGTGGTGGCAACAGAAAGAGTTGGTACGCATGATGAGAAAGCCCTGGGTGGGGTTCCTTATAAGGTCGATGGAAGAGCAGAGTGAGTGTAAGTGAAAGAGAATAGAGGATTGACAGTGAAAAGTAAAGAAGATGTGCGCAGCGCACCTTCCTCAGCCGGGGGACCAAAGTCGGTTAAAGTGTGAATGCACATGAATGAAAGCACCATCAATCTTTCAGTTGTCTAGCATGAGGGCAACAAGCATGACACCTCGCACATGAGCAGCTGAGCATGCTATAGCGCACCGACTATTTTTAGGGACCGGCAGCCATTCATTACGCATTCAAGATGCTCTAGAAAGCAAACACGCCCTTCAAAAGGACTAGCATATTGGTCTTGGAGATTTCGCATTCACGGAATCTGATACAAAATTGTGAAATTAAGCTACCGGCACGATGCCGTCATGATCTCTATCACAGCGTTGGTTAATTCCGAGTTTGATCAACTTGATTAATGGCACTCACCTACGCATACGAGGAATACCATGGATGGGTTCTGGGTTTGTAGTTTGAATAATATGTCCTAAGCGGGAAAGCAACAGGCACAAAGACAAGAATGAGGACAAGAGCAAAAGTTGTGGTGAAGCCATGTGCATCTAGCCGTAGAGTATACTGTTCACTTCCATGCAAGCATGTGACAGCATGAGGAGGGAACAGAGCAGCGTTGTTCTCAGTAAGGATCAATGAAGTTGCAAATCGGCCCGTCCCCCAATTGAGCCTCAGCTGTCTCCCAGGATAGTCTTGATATAGAGTTGGGGAACTTGGGAAGATTGCCGAATGTAAACCGAAAGACAGCCGAGCAGTCATCCAGCATCCTCTCCAGGCAACTTCGGCGAAACCAAGATCCGATGCCCCAAGAAATGACGCCGGATCTCCCACGACCCCACCATTCTCATGTAGATCTTTGAACATTGCGCCACAGTCATTACTGCTACTGCGACTTCCCCTCATTCGCGCAACCTTCACTATCATAGTATAGAATTTGCCCTGCAATGGCCGATCCATTGCCAGCATCCGAGCCCGAAACCCTCGAAGCGCTTCAATCCCGACACCGCAAAGAGCAACGCGATCTTGTCTCCCGTACAACACAAAAGAAGAAACAAGCCAGTAAAAAAACACGGAAGGGAGTCAACGAAGAATGTGAACGATTAGAAAGGGAGTTGAAAGAGCGGCATGAGCATGAGCTTGCCATTCTAAATGGAGATGCTGTGCAAGAGGAAAACGACGATAACATACCACCCTCCGAAGATGAGGCACAGGATATTCAGGAGGATATAGAAAAATTGAAGATTAATGGAAAGAATGCTGGGGGCAAAGAGAATGGTACCACAGAAAACATTGCTGAGCCCAAGGCAAAGAAACCCAATCGCGCCAAAGCCCGCCTTGCTCGCCGGGCCGCTGAACAGGCCTCTATGATTGCCGATGCCGAGCGCGAAGCTGCAAATGCACCAAATCCACGGGAACTCGAGCGAGAACGCATGGCGACGCAATTGGAGAAGCATAGCCTTGCGCTTCATGAGATACGGGCAGATGGACATTGTTTATACGCTGCTGTAGCAGACCAGTTACAGACAAGAGAGTTAGGATTGCAGCCGAGAATAGCTATCACAACGATTGGAAAAGATGAACAGAATGAGACCGACAAAATAGAAGGTTACAAGGTGGTCCGACATGCAGCGGCAGACTGGATACAAGGCCACGCCGATGACTTCGCAGGATTCATGGAAGATCCACTGCCCGAGCATGTTCGAAAGATTAGGGAGACAGGTGAATGGGGTGGTCACCTAGAGCTTCTTGCGTTGGCTAGGTCATATGGGTTAAGGATTTGTGTGCTGCATAGCGATGGAAGAGTGGACAAGATCGAAGCCGAAGACGATGTCACAGAAAAGAAGGAGATTTGGTTGGGCTACTATAAACACAGCCATGGATTGGGAGAACACTACAACTCACTGCGCGTAGCTGGTTGAACATCATCTAGCAGGACCAGTACACCAACAGCACACCCGATATGTTTAATGCCACCTTTGTTCCCCTGGACAATCTGCTTTATGTCGCCACATACTTACGCAGTCCCTTACAAGACCTTGGATGACGCCGATCTCGTGTGTCCGTCTGGGAGTAAAATGCGCAATTTTAACTAACGCCTTGTCTGTCTCCTCTCGGTCTGTCTTGGTCACCACGCCCTGGTCATCATACGAAATATCCCGACCTGGCTGTTTGAGAAGCTCTGTATGTACAAGCGGTGGCAGCGACCATGGTGGTCCACCAGATTTCACAGGCTTATGGGTTGGGAACTCAAGACAAATTAGGACGCCCCCGGTGCCTGTATTGTTCGAGGATGACAGGCGGAGAAGCTCAGTCATACGCGACGCCCACTTGGGACGGAGCGAGGGCGGGAGAGCACACAGGAACTGTGCACAGTGTCAGACCCATCAAAGAAAGCTGCGGGGATGCTACAATTAGCACTCACAGTATTGTCATAGATAATATCGAAGCCCTCATCTCCATCCCATCCATCAACATCCTTGAGCCAACCATCGTCAAAGAAGTCACCACAGACAACCTTCATCGCTCCTCTTCCTATATTTTCGTCCTTGATCGCATATTCACCCTCCAGGGGTCCTTTTCCGGGATCTGATAGATATTTCCGTGCAGCTTCAGCCGCGTGTGAGGACACCTCCAGCCCGTAAGCATCATAACCGTAAGCCGCAAACAAAGCCACATCGTAGCCTTTTCCGCACCCTGGCACCAATGCCCTCCTCCTCTTTCCGTCCTCCCTCAGTGGTCCGGGGAGAGACGCATAACCTGCTGACTCGCTGTTTGGTGGGGGTGCGCCTAATGATGGATTGGGGTCTGGAGACGAGATAGGACGAGACCGCTCGCTAAGGACGTCTATCAGCGCGGGATTGGCATGACCCCGGTCCCATGGCAGGAATGTAGCCTCTCGCCAGAGGTCGTCCCAGCGGTTGCTGTGATCCGAGTCGGGTGCAGAAGAGAAAAGCGTACGGAGACGATCCTGATTCTGGGTTGCCATTGTGGGAATCCCGCAAGACGACGAAGATACCGAGTCTGAATGACAGTGTCCGTATGACTAGGGAAGCTGAAGGCCTTTGACAGTTGATTGTCCCGAATGAATTCAATGCGGGGTGTCTGCAGCTGGCCGACAACACTCTCACCGCGATATCGATGGTTTCACGAGGTCTTTTTCCCGGCCCAATGGAAAGATAACAAGACTGACCACCAAGCCCGTCTCTCTGCTATTGAGCAATTGAGGTAATCGAAGAGCCAGTTGTAGATCTTCGGCACCTGTTACCTACATTTGTGGCGCCGATACTACCCCGCCGAAAACGTTAAAGTGTGGAAACGGTGGCGCCAACCACTCTGGACCGCGGAGATGTTCTACTATCCCTGATTTGTCGGACGGTCGCCGAGGCCAAATGGTCGAATCATCTTGGTGCACGATCGCAATGCGACAGTGTACCACGGATAAAGATGCCTTGGACGTTGACCTCGTACGAGATAGCTCGCCACGAGCAGAATACACGGACTGTCGCATGCATGCATCCTTCCAACCCAATAGAGCACGACGTCGGTCATCAAGTTCGAGTAATGGTGCAAGTCGGCGTCCTCGGCATTCACTTTTGCAGTCGACATGTACCCAAGAGTCAATTGCTCTGATATCGCCTCTAGCTATATAGCACTAAAATTTCTTTGCGTTCATTTCCGATTCCATGCCCATCGTTGCACCATAACAGGCAACACATCCGTGTTGACGAGGGAGATTGCTAGAGCTCAAGGCTTCGGCTGCATGCAGCCGAGGCATTACGACACTGCCACTGACACGCCTGTCGCAGAAGCGATTGTGCATACGGGAATAATAGCGTGCTGGTTGAAACCGGTCATTCAACACTATACATCTTGGATAATTTCTCAACTTTCCCCCCTTCTTTTTCTTCTTGTTACATTTTTCACGTTTGCGACTAAATATGGTGTTCGAGATATCAAGATCGCCACCCAGGATATCAACTCCGGAGCCGACTTTCGACCGAAATGCCAACCATGAGATTGATGTGAATGCGAAAACAACGGAAAAATTAGAAAACAGTGTTTTTGAAGGAAGGAAAGAAGTTGCGCGAGAGGACGCGACGGTGACTGCATCCTCAAGCTCTTCAACTATCTCACATCACTCTACAATCACAGCGGGACAACCACGGCCATCGAATACAAGAGAACCATCAACAGACCTGACGAGAACCACGTCAGTTGTACCGGATCCTGTGGTAATTCCTCGTTCCCAGCGCCGTGGGTTTCTCGCACGCTTCGCTCTTATTCCCGAAGTCGAAAATCCCCAGCACTATACCCGACAAACGAAATGGCTACTTACTTTCATTGTTGCTTTTTGTGCCATGGCTGGACCAATGGGCTCTGCGATTGTCATGCCGGTACTCCAAGACATTAGCGAAGCTTTTCAAGCGACCGAGACTGTAACCAACATGTCCGTCGCTGTGTACATGCTCAGCATGGGCATTTTCCCGCTATGGTGGAGTTCCTTTTCAGAACGGCTGGGCCGACGAACCATTTACATTACCTCATTTATTTTATTCGTTATTTTCGGTATACTCGCAGCAGTTAGCACAACGATCCACATGTTGATTGTCTGCCGTGTTCTGTCTGGAGGTGCAGCCGCCTCTGTGCAAGCAGTGGGTGCTGGAACCATCGCAGACATCTGGCACACGAAAGAAAGAGGCGCAGCAATGGGCTTGTTCTACCTTGGTCCACTCTGTGGACCTCTGTTTGCCCCGATTATCGGAGGTGTGCTCGGAGCAGAACTGGGATGGCGAAGCACACAATGGTTTCTAGTCATATACGGAGGCCTCACAGTGATCTTTATCATCTTTGCCCTACCAGAAACATTACATCG